TATATATAGCTTCAAAACTGTTCAAATCGATTGTGAGTGGATCTAGATTTACGCCGTACTCAGCAATTGTCCAGCTTCATGGCGGCAGTCTGTGAATAATCAAGTCTGGACCAGACAATCCAGTGATCAACAGCATGAGCATCGATCTACGCAATTGGGGTACGATGACATGTGTCAACCAAGTCAGCGAGCCTGACCACTCGATCCCGCTAGTCGTCTCTTACGACAAGCATGGGTTACTGAAGATCAAATCTAACCCGGATCTTCACGGGTTTCAAACCGGTTAAATGCTAACTCACTCACTAACTATGTATGGCCATACTTTCATTGGTCAGCAACCTCTATTTCACACAGCTTTACACATAAAAACAGATATGCTAACTCACTCACTCACTAACTATATATGGCCATACTTTCATAGGTCAACAGCCTCTATTTCACACAGCTTTACACATAAAACAGACATGCAGGTTAATCCACACATGAATGTGTACCATTTTCTGACAAAGGATTTGACAAAATTCAACGTGCAGTTATCAGGAATATATATGCAAAGGATGAAAAAATCAAAAGCATATTTTTCGAAAACTCAAATTTAAGCTACCAAGTCGAGAATGTTTACGTTTTCTCAAAACACATGTTTTATGGGTTGTTTATGAATGAGAATATTTCTATAAGTATCATGACACAAAATTCAACTAATTTCAACTTAATTCGGTTAATTTAGAGCGTTAACAAAATATCTCGCCCATTCGCGATAATGGTTACTTTTGCTCAAATGTCATGTTTTCGTGGTTAAAAATGAATGAAAGTATCTATAACTATCATAACACAAAATTCAACTCAAATTAACTGAATTCAATTAATTTAAATTAGAACGTTATTAAAATATTTCGCCCATGAGATGTTCACCTTTGCTCGAAATTCATGTTTTGGAGGTTGTAAATGAACGAAAGTATGCAAACTCACTCACTAACTCTATATGGCCAGATTTTCAGGGCCAGTGGTGAACAACCTCAGGTTCAGACAACAACAGGCATGCAGGTTAATCCACACATGAATGCGTGACGCATATTTGTATTAATACACGCGGTTCTGGTACAATAAGAACGTTTTGTGTTGACCACTCCCAATTTAAGGTATTGTACCTGGTGTAGCAGCGTCCTCAACAGGAACAACGGTATTCATTACCAGTATTGTGATTATCCGAGATTATCCATTAATCCAGGATTATGTCAGTAACTATTTCGTTTATTAGACATCTGCACAGAAATGGTTATTAGTTTTAATCATAATTCCTTGAAAATATATTAAATAACACGATACAAGTTGGCCCCACAAGGGACTGGCGTTATTGTCGGATTATCAAGATTACCGATCATAAGGACACAAGTACTCTTCCTTTACAGTTCAGAATGTAGCACAGCCTTGGAGCAAAGTTCTGCAGACTTTTCCGTAAAATTACTAAATTGTTTATTGTAATATAATGATAGTCATCATGATATGCATTTATGTGTACATTTATTGTTACATGTGACGAAAAACATTAATTAACTCACTCACATTATTGTGAACTGTAAACAGTCAGTGAGAGAACATGCATTTGACAATACTGTATTTGACCGAATAATTAAAAACTTTATGAAAAGGTGACTTGGCTGAAATAAATTGCTGAAAGCCTGTACATTACATGTTTAAAAGACAACAATCCACCGAACCACTATCACACCAGAATGAGCTTCACGCATTGTACCCATGTAGGGAATCGAACCCGGGTTTTCGGAGGCGTGACGAGCGAACGCTTTAACCACAGGGCTACCTTGTACTAGAAGATTCGACATATGTTTGGAGATTATTTAGGTTTCTAAATATTAATATTGCTAAAAGCGGCGTAAAACTCAGTCAGTCAGTCTATAGAAGTCAAACGTGTATAACAATAAATCACGAAAACATATCGCCAAGCACCCACCCATACCCAGTAGGCTTTTAAGATAGCATTCATTTGTCGAACAAACTACTGTAAATGTGTTGTCGAAATACGTGAACTTTCTCTGGAAGGTCATTGTTAAAAGAGGTTCAAGTTTCAACGTTCACTGACATTGTATTATATATAGATCACTATCATGCATAAGACCTTGCCATATCCATCTTACCGTTATAGAAACGCGTTGACTAGTTCACTGGAACTGTGGTGTAGATCATATACATTTTAGAAGCTGCAGTATCAGCGAAACATATCTGACATTGGGCACAATTTCTTTGATCGAAATATCGAAATGTGTATCGAAATATCACAAAGATATAAGGAGCATGGAATTTACTCTGTGTTCAGTTATATTAATATTAATATATATGAACAAGTACAAGTTTACTACACTAGACGTAGAATATACCTATGTCAGTTATCGGCTTTTTGTTGTCGATGTTCATGAAGTTATACATGAACAATCCAAGTCCATCGGCACTGCCGCTTCAGTTTGTATGTACTCACGACTGTATATAATCCAAATTTGTTTTCCTGACCATACTTAGAATTAGGACATTCTTAAATGATTGTATTAAGACGATTACAGGCCTATCTCCATATCTAGACGGACAATCCGTCACCGGACCACCTATCGGAAATCAATGACCCCAGCGATGACGTCAGAGGTCACGTGACCTGTGGCTATATATGAGGGTGAGGCGACAGACCTCCACAAACACTAATGATGAAAATACGTTGGAAGGAGACATTATTACTAGCTGTAGTCGCGGTCTTGCAATGCCGGTCGGCGTTTGCTGCAGGTAAAGCTTGACATTTTGCTTGACAAATACTTGAAAGTAAAGTATATTGTCTTTTCTTATATGTAAAAGAGAAACTGTACTTCGAAATTGAAAATGATTTTTAGTATCATGTGACTGGATTTGTGGTCCATCACTGGATTGTCTGGTTTGTTTGCATGAGAACTGTTGTGTGGCGTCGAGCAACGGATTATACTTATTTATACACAACGCGTTACTGACGGATGGATATTGCAACAGTTTCCTCGGAACTGTCTCCCAGGAACACTTTGCCAGATTTCAGCGTGTGCCAAATACTGCTGCACGTATAGTCACGAGGACCAAGATGTCTTCACACATTACACCAGTTCTTATATCACTGCATTGGCTTCCTGTACAAGCAAGAGTTCAATTATACATTTTGACACTTGTCTACAAATGCTGTCATCTGTCAGCTCCTCCATATTTGAATGATCTCATTCACAAATATGTACCATTGAGATCACTTCGATCTGCCGACCATCATCTACTTGACGTACCAAAGAACAATCTGAAAACGTTTGGCTATAGGGGGCGGTGGGGTAGCCTAATGGTTAAAGCGTTGGCTCGTCACGCCGAAGACCCGGGTTCGATTCCCCACATGGGTACAATGTGTGAAGCCCATTTCTGGTGTCCCCCGCCGTGATGTTGCTGGAATATTGCTAAAAGCCGCGTAAAACCAAACTCAGTCAGTCAGTCAGATTGGCTATAGATCTTTTGCCTACTTGGCTGCCACTTCATGAACTGTTACCTCTTCACATCAAGAAGGCAGAATTCATTAACATTTTAAAGAGCGACCTAAACAAATCCTGTGAGCACCCATGAAAAAATACGCCTGTGACTTTTTGCAGTGATTTCATTTTGTTTGCAGCGCCATGAGCAAGCACTCTGTGCCTGGAGTTTGGAGCAGTATAAGTGCAATATTATTATTATCATTATGGACTGCAGGACATTTTTTACCATTTTGTGAAACTCCTGGTGCCATCCCAACTTTTCAGTGATCCTATCAAGTACTTACTCTCGCTGTTTTACCCTTAATGCCGAATGGAAATTGTTAAACAGATTATCTCATTCATACTTTTCAAACGTACAAACATGAGTCGATAAAAGTTTAAAACATCCGAATCGTGCTGTGTAGTTGCTAACTCTTACCGTCGAACATTCGTGCATTATATGTTGAAAGACATGCAACGCCGCCATATGGCTGGAATATTGCTGAGTGTGGCGTAAAATTAAACTCATTCACTCACTGAAAGACATGCAAGCGATATCTCTTTTGGAAGACAGTTTTGGATAATAAATCATCACTATCGTGATTATTGCTTAGTAGTAGTACAAGTAGCAGTACTAAAAGTAGTACTGGTACTAGTAGTAGTAGTAGTAGTAGTAGTAGTAGTAGTAGTAGTAGTAGTAGTAGTAGTAGTACAAGCAGTTGTAGTAGTGAAAAAAGTAGCACTAGTAGAATTAGTAGTAGTAATAATAATACAATTACATTGTAGTTGTATTAGTAGTACACGTAGTTGTAGTAGTACACGTAGTCGTAGTTGTAGTAGTGCAAATAGTAGTAGTAGTAGTAGTAGTAGTAGTAGTAGTAGTATACAGATTTAGTAGAAGTAGTAGTAGTGGTAGCAGTAGTAGTAGCAGCAGCAGAAGTAGTAGTAGTAGTCGTAGTAGTAGTAGTCGTACTAGTAGTAGTAGTAGTACATGTAGATTTAGAAGAAGTAGTAGGAGTAGCAGTAGTAGTGGTGGTAGTGGTAATTGAAGTAGTAGTAGAAGTGGTAGTTGCAGTGGTAGTTGTTATTGTCCTGTTCAATGTAATCATATTATCAGCCGATTTATGTTAATTTGCTGTTTTGAACTGCCGTTACAGGTAACAGTATTAGCAGTTTTGACCATACCATATATAGTGCATTTTTTACCGGCCACTTTACTCATTTTGCTAAAGAAATTGAAGAACATATTTCGACTTTTGTGAAAGGTTTGACCTTTAGTCAAAACGGAAATCCCTCAAAACACGCCATCAGGACATAGTATCAAACGCGCCTCCTTTCTTCACTTCACATGTGTAATATTTGGGTGTCATCAAAGTAACTATGTTACAAACTTTGGTTCTTGTTGAAGTAAGGAGTATACGTTGTCCTTGTTATTCACCAGAACTGCATATAACGTGAATATAACCTGTTCTGATACGAAGAGTTATGTTTCCAGATTCTTCAGTGTTGTACATCGAGCCCCGCCATGGCAGTACCAACGGGGAGACCCGCGTCACCATCACAGGACGGAGTGAGTATTGACAAGAGCCTGGAGGAGATGGGTGCTGGGTGGGTAGGAACCATGAAGATCCGGGTTCTTCAGTAAGAACTGGTCTTCAGTAACCCATGTTTGTCGTAATAGGCGACTAACTGGATCGGGTGTTCAGGCTCGCTGTCTTGGTTGACGCATGTCATCGGTTCCCAATTGCATAGAACGGTGCTCATGCTGTTGATCACTGGATTGTCTGGTCCAGACTACCCAATGCCCTTCTGAAATAGCTTGTTATCATAACATGAATTTGCATGAATCAGACTTTAAGCTATGCATTCACTTCTGTTTAAGATTTCCGCCCCAGAGGGACATAGCGTTTAGGAAAATGTAGAGGCAGATGATTCGTTTAATTTCAGAAAGTCCAAATTCCTTTTTGTGTCAAGTGTTCGTTCATCATATTAATAGCCCACATTGATTACCACATTGCTGTATAATTGTTAAAATCTAGGTTACAAAAATACTCTACCACTCATTCTAGTGTAAAAGGCATTAATTCACCGAGACGTGATACATAAAAGCTATGTATCATCCGACATTAACATTTGATATAGAATAAAGTGCATGTTCCACGCATGCGTCCGGTATGCCGTTCGACATTCTGTCGTGTATTGCCACAGCAATGCGTCATGTGTAAAACCCCATAATACGTCATGTACACAACCCAGTAATACGTCAACCATAAAACCGTGTAATACGTCATGTAGATAATCAAGTAATGCTTCATGTAGACAACCCAGTAATACATCATGTACAAAGCCAAGTAATACGTCATATACAAAACCAAGTAATACGTCATGTAGACAACCCAATAATACGACATGTATACAAACAAGTAATACGTCATGTATATAACCCAGCAAAACGCCATGCATACAACCGTATAATACGCCATGTATACAATCAAGTATTGCTTCATGTAGACAACCCAGTAATACGTCATGTACAGAGCCAAGTTATACGTTATGTAGACAATCAAGTAAAACGTTATGTACAAAACCAAGTAATACGTCATATAGACAACCCAATAATACGTCATGTATACCTCAAGAAATGCGTCATGTACAAAACCCAGTAATATGTCACGTACAAAACCACGTAATACGTCATGTAGACAATCAAGTAATGCATCATGTACAAAACCCAGTAATATGTCATATACAAAACCAAGTAATACGTCATGAAGACAGTCAAGTTATGCATCATGTACCAAACCCAATATTACGTCATATACAAAACCAAGTAATACGTCATGTAGACAGTCAAGTTATGCATCATGTACCAAACCCAGTATTACGTCATATACAAAACCCCCTTATACGTCATGTAGACAACCAGGTAATACGTCATGTATACAACCAGGTAATACGTCATGTATACAACCCAGCAAAACATTATACATAGAATGAAATTATGTCATTAATTTATTTCCATGTGATATTTGTATAACATTGATGTATCACAAGCTCACTAACTACGACCAATCTAATGTTCAGTAAAACTGCGCCTGGACAATAGTCTCACCAATCCCGCTACATAGAAACAAGCGTAATTTCAGGTTACAAAACAGGTGTACCACGACGAATCATGGCGAGGCATAAATCGTTAACCCTCATCGTACACAAACCTGTGTTCACGACAAAGTAGAACCCTTCTTGCTTGGAGGTAAAGCTTGAGCTGATTAGCCCGCGACTACACCAAACAACAATGAGGTTATTACACTGCGGGTAATATATAATGAATAGGCAATCTGCCATCTACCCTCTAATGCGGTATTTGATTAATACGGTCAGTGCAGGTTGTAAACAGCTCCGAATAAGCCGGCCATGACCGTACAGGTGTGTGCATGTCAGAGCGGGGCCTATCAACGCCATCATGCTTGGCTGTGAGTGAGTGAGTGAGTGTGGCTGGGGCCGGGGGTTGAGTGAGTGAGTAATCAAGTGAGTGAATAATCGAGTGAGTTCTCGAGTGAGTGAATAATCAAGTAAGTGAATGAGTAATCGAGAGAGTGAGTAATGAAGTGAGTGAGTGAATAATCGAGTGAGTGAGTAATCGCATGAGTGAATAATCGTGTGAGTGAGTGAGTAATCGAGTGAGTGAGTGAGTAATTGAGTGAGTGGGTTAATAATCAAGTAAGTGAATGAGTAATCAAGTGAGTGAGTGAGTAATCGAGTGAGTAATCGAGTAAGTGAGTGAATAATCGAGTGAGTGAGTAATCGAGTGAGTTAGTGAGTAATCAAGTGAGTGAGTAAGTAATCGAGTGAGTGAGTAATCAAGTGAATGAGTGAGTAATCAAGTGAATGAGTAATCGAGTGGGTGAGTGAATAATCGATTGCTTGAGTGAATTATAGTGAGTGAATAAATAATCGAATGAGTGAATAAGCCGGCCATGATCCAACAAGTGCATGCATGCCACGGCGGCTATAATCAAGTGAGTTAGTGAGTGAGTGTAGAATCGTGTTAGTGAGGTGGATTCCGAAGATATGTCGATCTTTGAATTAAAGTTATACACCATTAAATTTTGTTTGATGCATGAATAATGTAATTCTAGGTATGCCGGCAAGTCCTGTTGCATGTGCTGTCAAATATTTGGAAAGTTTATTTGTATGATCAGTACGTTTGCTTTTTCTGAGGAAATACAAGCTAACGAAACTGAAAGAAAACTGCGTGATTCTATACGCATATATCCCTGGAACACTTCAAAAAAAAATGTTTGCTTCTTTACACTTTAAAACGAGGCAAAACTAAATACGGAGGCGGTAAATTTGAAAAGTCAACTAATGACCTTCAGCAGGTCCGAGCGTGGAGATCACGCCAAATGTATTTGTATTTAAAATATTCGATTATGGTTTGACTGAACCATGCCCAGTTTCGCAAGTTTGACCAAAGTGCTTATCGTCTAAAAAACTATTTCACCGTTTTACACCCACATTAAACTGACATGTCGCCATACCGTATTATATACTACTCACACTTTGCTTAGGATCACAAAAATCACAACTTTACTTAAACGTAGATTCATAACTTGAAATTGTATTCATTTAAAACTGGATAAATTATAATAGTTTAATATGGTAACCTCTCTTTACGCAAACAGTCACTTTAATCTAACCTTATGCACCTGATACATGAGGAACCATAAAAATGGTTTTCATGGCACCAATCAGCCATTTTGCAAATTATTGAACGAGTCACTGACAAGTACACAACAATAGCAGATATGGGATCCACAAGATGAAATGAGATCCTGAAACCTAGGATCCATGCTAACAATAAGCTTAGATATTTAAACCAAATTTGACCCCACATAATAGTTTTCTGTTGAATCCATGATTCGGTCCTTAGGAAAGTGTGAATAGTATATATTATGGAGTTTTTAGCATGCACTCTTTCTATCTCTCACAAAGAATAAGTTGACTGTTTAAAAGTCATCACCTCAACAACAACGTGATGATGTCTGTTTCGTTTGTATCACTGAATCCACCAATATTTGAAAGTGGCATGTTCTGTCATTATTAGAAGGAACAGGAACAGTGCCATTAAACTGGTAGCATCGGTGTTTTGAGTTTCAGTTGCGGTTTCCACCAAAGCTATACCTGCCTTATATTTCAGATTTCGCTAGAAACCTGTTCAGCTTTGGTGCTGGCTTTGGCCACGTTGGCAACAAGGTGGAGATGGTGTCCGGTACGACGGCATACGAATGTGCATTTCACCCTGACGGTTCCCACGAAACACAGATCATGTGCTATACACAGTAAGTTACCATGGTGATGTGCTGCACGATACGCTAGTGGAATGGTGTTGTGTTCCATTATATGAATAATAATAATAATAATAATAATAATAATAATAATGGCTCTTTGTAAACCAAGCTGCCAAACATCCATCCATGGACTGTCCGCGACCATCGATGCTTAAATTCAGCTGATTTCCACAGGACCAAAACCCACCATGATATATTCATCATGGATGCCGTGTGCTCCACGTTAAATATTTATCATTTATCAATACGTTTTAATTCCAGTGTTCCTCACGCAGATCTGCGTAAATAAATAATAAGTAATCATACCAACGTAGTTCTAAGGAATACGTTAATGTAACGACAATGTGTAACGCCCAATAGGTTATCGTAACTACAATGCGATACGCACAATAGTTATTGTAACGACAATGCGATCCGCACAATGGTTATTGTAACGACCATGCGATACGCACAACAGGTTATCGTAACGACAATGCGATACGAACAATAGGTTATCGTAACGACAATGCGATACCCACGATAGGTTTTAGTAATGACAGCGTGCTGCACCCAAATCTTTATGATAATCGTGATGCTACACAAATATGTTACTATTCTGACGATGTTCTATACACTGTAAAACCGCCTCCGTGGTGTAGTGGTTAGAGCGTCCGACAGGAGAGCGGAAGGTCGCGGGTTCGATCCCCGGTCGCTTCATACCAAATGACGTTAAAATCTGGTACTTGTTGGTCCCTGCCTGGCGCTTGATATTAATGGGTACAACAAGGACTGGTCGGCTCGGAGTAAGTATAATGTGTCTGAGTGGGGTATTCATGCTTCACTGCGGCATGGTATCTCAGTGGGCTAGCACTATAAAACCAGCTTAAGTCTGGGCTAGTACAAGCAGCCACACATACACACGCATGAACGTCGTCATATGAGCGAAATATTCTGAAGTACGATGTACGATGTTAAACCCCATTTCACCTCACCTCACCTCTACACACATTGAACCATCACAATGACAGTAACGCCTACATAGTAATTATAACGACGACATGCTACGCACAGTAGGTTATCATAGTAAAGACGTACCACATACAACATGAGATCCTGCACAAAAATATAAGTTGCCAGCTATGCGGAATACAATGTTGTCCTAATTACGAGCTGCCAAATATAACAGGATATCCTAATAACGTGCTTCACATTAAATTCTAATGACGATGTGCTATACAGTAACTTATCACCACTTATTTCTGTTACTAATGTACAACGTTTCATCAACTATCGTGTTTACGGACCCTTTGCGCTTGTTTTTGTTGATCATGGTACAATTCGTCGTAACAAATTTCTGCCCTTGCCTGCATCAGCTACAATGCTGAATGTCGACAAACCAAAGTTGTTTGTTGAAGAGAAACCAATGGATTCTGTCGCTGGTCACCTGTTATGGCCTTGTGGGTATAACAGATTCTGCCGTCTATCAGGGATTGTCTGTCTCTGAACATAATGTACTTAACATGCAAACGAGACAAGCCTTGTCCGATACGCTCAGACAGATCAATCGTAAAGTAGACTATAATCAGCAAGTGTTCGCCTCGCCAATAATTCAGTGGTGCTTGCTGACATCCCTTGCTATGTATTTCGCATCTGTATAAAGCTAGGGAGGTAAATAACAAATTATTTGTGATACACAATATTTCTTATAACAAGCTGTGTTATATCCATTCAATCCGGGCGATGGGGTAGCCCAGTGGTTAAAGCGTTCGCTCGTCACGCCGAAGACACGGGTTCGATTCCCCGCATGGGTACAATGTGTGAAGCCCATTTCTGGTGTCCCCCGCCGTGATACTGCTGGAATATTGCTGAAAACGGCGTAAAACCATACGCAGTCAGTCAGTCTATTCAATCCTCTTGACAAATCATTTCTGTCTCCAGACTTTGTTGAACAATTTCCCTTTCCTATTTAAAAAAAGCCATCCATACATATATTTCTAAACAAGTTTGAAATGAACCCTTGAACCCTTTTTGAGAAAACGACAGAAATTAGACACTTGTCACAGGAGTACACCAAGTACGAAAGTACGTGATCCAGTGTACCAGTTGTCCGGCGTCCAGTCTGTGGCTGAGTGGGTTAGATAGCACACCTTGAGGTTCCTGACCCGAGAGTGTGGGTTGGAAGCACAGATGGGACTCAACCAAACAAAAGTAATAGAATCTGTACTTTACTGAGAAATGTAATCCCAAATATACCACGTGTTACTCACATTTTGTCGCCTAATAAAACTGGAGGTGAATGGCACTCTTGTTAATCCAATCATGTCCATTTAACCATCACTCATCCCTGTAACAAGTTGTATAGAGCAATCTGGGTAATATTGTATATAAATACATTGGTACAAGGAAGACTGGAGTTAGAGATGAGAGTGCAACCATATGGTCCATGCCGTGGTTTAGATTTTGTACATTTGTTACAAAACAAGCAAATTTATTGCTCGTCAAAGATAAGTTACTTGTAGCAATCAGAATCTGTGTATTATGCGTTGTTTTAACGTTAACAGTTCCAGATCAAATTATTTTACAAACAAATTCGTTAACCTATTCTTTGAGTGCTGACACTGAATTTGTTTTGGGGAGATAAAATTGCTAACTAAAATTTCAATTAAAAATCAATCATATTTTAGATATCAATTGTGAAGTATAGTTCTTTTCACCTCAGGTTAAGTATTGTGGAGAGCTTGTACCTAGTTTGAAGACGTATAAGTCCATATCCCATCGTATACTGTTGTCCGTTAAACGTACAATCAAGGTCAAATTGTACCGTTATGCTACTGATACAGTTATACTGTTATACAACTGATACTGTCAAACTGATGGCGATGATGATTATTTGGAGATTTAACATGTGCTTTCCGACATGATGCGTATTTCCGACACGGGCCCACCAGACCATTTAGTGTTTGATTGAAAAAGGGTGATTTAACCGAAAGATATGACAACCTGAAGGGGGCGTTTGTCTTGCATAACCAAATTTATATGAACTTTGAATTTGGAAATTTGCCAGAAGTTGTAATGGGTGTATGGACTATGGGATGGTTTGATTGGTATTGGTTATGTTTGTTTTTTGTTCTGCTTTTGTATTTAGTTTTATGTCAGCAATAGTTATATGGAATTATAACTGACCTAAAGGCCATTTTTGATAAGACATATACCCAAGGATTTGGCGTTATTCAGTGGGCTTACAAGAGTCTTGATTGTTAGGTGTGTGTCAGTGTCCATTAAACTCTGGAGCACCATTTCAAACGGTCAAACTGATGACCATATTTACATTTATACATCTAAACACGTTTCTCTCAAAGCAATCACAACAAGTTGTGTATATACGAAACTACGGCTCCATTTGTTAGATTAGGTCCGTACATATTTTATGACGTTGTTTTGACGGTTAGTATCTGTACATTGGTCTCTTTTAATTAGTCCCCCGTGGTCAAGCCACATCTGACCCTATTCACCCCTAGGCATCAACCTTGAAACAATACAATCATTGTCACCTGAAGACTTACCGATTCCTTCACATCGCGAGGTTCGCGCCGTCCGTCCGTCCTTGACCTTGACGCTCGACGTGTTGTCAATGGCACGACCATCATCAAAGCGTTGTAATGTTATTTTAATGATGTTTGCTGTTGACATGTGTACCTGCCTTTGTGTCTTGAACCGTGACGGTCTGTTTAGGAAGAACGGAGATCATTGTACATGCGTGAACGCGACTTCATTAATACTCATACGATCTACAGGGGGGAACCATCAAATCAGGCCCCACTTGGACTTTGGGTAAGAATATGATCCCATTAACGAATGCTTGTCGTCAAGGGCAGCTGGTTTTGTTTTGATCGGTTGGTCAGTCTCCGCTGATTGCATGTTGTCATAACCGAGTGTTTTCAGCGAGAGGGTTGTTCATTATATCAATCACTGGAATGTCACCTAGTGATTCGACCCGTCGTTTTGCTGGAATATGCTGCGGCGTAAAACAAGCAACAAACATTCACAAAACATGGAATAAAAGCAGAGAAAAGTTTGGTTCGAGTGAGTGAGTGAGTGAGTTTTGCGCCACTTTTAGCAATATTCCAGCAATATCACGGTATGGGACACCAGAAATTGGCTTCACACCTTGTACCAATGTAGGAATCGAACCCGGGTCTTCGGCGTGACGAGTGAACGCTTTAACCGCTAGGCTACCCCACCGCCCCCCAGTTTGGTTTCAGTAATTCGAAACACTATATATGTTACGTATGCTATACATGCTATGGACTTTGTATATGTAACGAATACTACATATGTTATGAACATGGTATACCACTCGTGTTATGGATGTTTAAAAACATGAAACAAAAGCCGAGAGGAAGGAGGCACTAGTTTGCTTCAAGTAATTCTAAACGCTACAGAAGTTCACTCAATGTGTCACGTACACACCATATGTCATGTACAATATATTTTATGCCAGGTAAACTGTAAATGTTACAAAGGCGAGTTATGATACGAACTTGTTTATATCATGTACACTGTAAACGTCACGTCACTGTCACGTACAGGGCGTGTTATGTACGCTATACATGCTATTGACGTTGTACAAGTGACGAGCACTATATATGTTATATGTTACGTATACTACACGTGTTGTGGATGTTTTGTTACGTAAAACATGTCTTCATATAACGAAACAGACACGGTCTGGCGCATGTAGCGTGCATGTTTCCAGTCAAGATGGCGCAACCGTTGTGTCGGCGTCATTAACACCACAACACCGCTTTAAAGGAAACCTGAACGCACCCTAGAAATACGTGAATAACCATGTCCAAGTGTATGGGTTTCACCTCCATGTTCCTCCGTGTCGGTTTCGACTCAGTATCCGATGTGAGGATTTTACTTCCACGTCTAATCGTGTTGGTTTCACAAGCATGTTCCTGGATTCACCTCCGTGTCCGAGCGTGTGGGTTTCACCATCATGTCCGAGTCTTTGATTTTCCACCATCCAGTCCGAATGTGTGGGTTAAACACTGAGTTTACTCAATATGTCCCGACCAGCTGGCTTAAGCATCTTGCCCGGTTCTTCCAGAAGCAAACCTCTCCTTGTCCAATTGTTGCTGGAACCCGCCATGGTTTGTCTTTCATACACCATATCCGTTGATCATACATCTGTTTTTTTTACAGGAAAATGCCCGCAGGAGAGTACAAGGTCCGAGTGTCCGTAGATGGAGTGGACATCCCCGCTAGTGACCACTGTGCAGGAGCCGAGTCCAAGTGTGAGTTCAAGGTAAGTCTGTCTGTCTACTGTTCCCCATTACAGTGTCTCCATAGATCTGAGCATAATCGTAGCAAACCTATAATTGATGGCATGAAGGAGACGTGACGTTTAACGTTACGTCTTTGAATATTTCACTCACACAGCGACTTGCCATTCGTAACTCGCCTCTTTCCGTGACCTACAAGACGACTCGTACTTGTATAGTACGCCATTATTGCCAAGAATTGTGACAAACCAGTAAAATTGCGTGTACTTAAATGTGAAATGAGGTCAAATAGTTTCTGTGCGATTATCGATTTTCATTATTTCCGTGATGATAAAATTATCTTGTTACTGATATTTGTTAACGACCTAAAAAAACCTTACTCAAAGTGACTTTCGTGTTGTATTATAAATTTCTAGGAGTAGCCATGTTAAGAAATTCAGAGTTAACTTTCCTTGGAAATAGTCCTACACAATGTCCATCTCCGTGCCCGTTTGCGCATAGAGAAGGCCCAGTTGACAACATGGCCACGAGTGGGGTAGGACTCGCCAGGAGGCTTGCCGGAAAGACACGAGTAGTTACGAATGTGCGACTTGCGTTGTCCTTGCACTTGAACAGATGGTTGCTGGTTTCACAGATCTCGCCACATTGCGCTGATTCGGAGACGAGTGGTGCTAGTTTTATCCTCAATGCCGAACACCAGACAGAGTAACAACAAGTAAACGTTTTTAGGTATGACGCAGCTAGTGGATCGAACCACTGCCTCCCGCCCTCCGAGAAATATGGCTGAAATTCCATCTACAGGTTAATCCAAGCTGCTGAACGTGCGAGAGGAATATAGTGCTCATTGTTTCAGCATTTTTGTTCAATAAAACAAATTTTGTTTCAGACATCAAGTTCGTACACCCCAACCCTGGACTCTCTCTCGCCAATAACAGGCTTCCCAGGTTAGTGTGACTTGACTTCCGTTGTAGCATTTGTGGGCATTATCAAACAGGGGAGATAACTGGCAGGATATGCAACGTCTTTATTGTAGCTACGTGTACCGTTATGAAACATGACGCATCAGTGGCTTGATAAACCCGTGAAGATCCGGGTTAGAATTGATTTTCAATACCCCATGCTTGAAGAGCCGACTAACGAGATCGGACACATGTAATCGGTTCCAAATTGCGTAGATCGATGCTCATCGTGTTGATCACTGGTTTCTCTAGTCCAGATAGACCGCCGCCATTTAGCTGGAATATTGTTGAGGCGGCGTAAAACTAAACTCACTCACTGCCTTGATAACGGTGTTTGTATCTACGCCTAATCGCGAAGTTATATACTCATTCAACTTTCTTCTGAGATCATTATATCTGCACGACCAATTGATCAAACGAGTGCTTACCGCGTTTGATTTCACAGTTTGGAGTGAGGGGGTGAGTGATGTGGCTTTAACGCCTCTCTCAACAGTAGACCCGTTGAGATCCGGTTTAGTATTGTTACTTCAGCAATTCATACTTGTCGTAGGTGCCGAATAACGGTATCGTAGGTCGATACTCATGCTGTTGATCACTGGATTGTCTGCAGACTCGATTTTATGCAGGCCGCCGCCATATTGCTGGAATATTGCTGAGCGACGTCAAACAGCAAAATCAAACACAAACGTTGAACATTGCACATACACCAATTTGGTGAACCCACGATCACCGATAATCGATTTCGAATCTCCGGTTTTGATGTGCCCAAGGGACGCAACTCTATACAGAGATTTCAGGCCCCAGTACACTAGGAGTTCAGGCCCCAGTACACCCGCACCATAGCGGGTACACCACCACAAATCGACTTCACACGATTTACCGATGTTGGGAATCGAACCCTTGTCTTCATCGTGACGAGCGAACACTCTAACCACAAGGCTACCACACCGTCCCAACCCCCATTTTCGAAGCATCATCATTTAGTCGTTATTGCTTTGTGTCAACAGGGGATATGGTGAAGTTCCGGGGCAAGCTCATCACCGACAGATACGGCAGCAACATGGCCTCCAGCAGCAACGGCAAGGCGGAGAAGCTGCTCAGGTACGTCAATGACTAAGCTGCAAGAAAGGCCACAAGATGTGCTTAGAAAACCTTATTCCCGATCAACTGCCTCTACTGTCCTATAAACACCGTTGTGTCGAATTCTGATGTGTCGAACATACGGATGTGTGGAAGTAAATACTCCCTACGTATTTACTCTTTAGTCGTCATTTTTGTGTCAACCCTCGGATGAATCAAAGTTTTTAGTTAGGTCCTCCCAAATTCGACACAACGGTGTTCGACGGAATTTTATGTTTATACCTGTCAGTCACCATAACTCTTTGGCCATTTCACATTTATCAGGACGCGATCACTTTTTCGCGACATTAGATCGTCACCATTTAATAGTGGTTTAAACACACTTGTTTTTATATATTCGCATTCGGTTTATAAAGGTTTTGTCGCCTATATTAAAGTTGTATCACATGTTTTGATAATGTTCCAGCACTGATAAGGCATCCTGCTTCTTAACGAGCAGTTCAAAATGTCATAAAAACTAAATTCAGACAAAATATCACTTTCCTAAAAGAAACTTAATTCCGAAATAATGACATTGCTTAATGATTATTATTATACTACAGAAACTAACCCGTGAAGATCCGGGTTAGATTTGATCTTCAGTAACCCATGCTTGTCGTAAGAGGCGACTAACGGGATCGGGTGGTCAGGCTCGCTGACTTGTTTGACACATGTCATCGTTTCCCAGTTGCGCAGATCGATGCTCATGCTGTTGATCACTGGATTGTCTGGTCCAGACTTGATTATTTATAGACCACCGCAATATTGCTGGAATATTGCTGAGTGCTGCGAAAAACTAAACACACGCACACAGAAACGAGGTACCCACAGCTAAGTACTGTGATAACGAACTCAAAAGGGCCAGTAGTCTTATAGTCTGACTTCGATATAACCGTAGTTCGTGATATGTGTCGAAAATAATATACGGCATGTGGTCGCGACCAAAAACACTGTTCCATATCTGTCAGTATGTTATAAGCGTGGTTAAACATATCACCATTGAATAGTTAGACCAGTTAGCATTTTATGTTGTCTATTCCAGGGTGTACTTAGGAAGCGAGAACTGTGAGCTAAAGGATCTGGACAACGATTCTCTGTAAGTATAGGAGGGAGGGGGGAGCCTGGTTGGTATTGCGTTCGCTCGCCACACCACAGATCCAGGTTCGATTTCCCACGTATTTTCAATGTGTGAAGCCCAGTTCTGGTGTCTCCCGCCGTGATATTGCTGGAATATTGCTTAAAGCGGCGTAAAACTAAACTCACTCACTCACTGAATATATGTGTATATACACATACTGACGTACCAAAAAACTACACACCTGGTGCCATAGGACCTTCCAAAACACCAAATGTGTACTTTCTTTTATACGCCAGTTCATCTGGTAGTTATGGTTAAGACACATCAGAGGGATTAGGTTTCTCTATTTTTCTGATTTATACCTCACATGATTCGGCTAAGGTTTAGCCCAGTGGTTCGTTCGGGAGCCCGAATGCCCGGGTTTGATTCAAGAGAAACGAAAGAGTGAAAGTAGTGAAAATGTCAGCCGTGAACCAGTAGGGGTGAATTTGTTACTGACCGAGACCAGCTCTCATAATCTGGGTGAAATCGGGATTCGAACCTACCATCATATGATCCGTGCAGGACGAAAGGGACGCAACCCCGAGCCACCTGAATATCTATTTTTACGTTACTAGTTTCGAGAAGGTGAGTGAGTGAGTGAGTTCAGCTTTACGGCGCACTCAGCAATATTCCAGCTATATGGCGGAGTTTCGAGAAGGAATTACAGGCTGACAGTAATGATAGTAATAATAATCATAGTCATAATAATCAAAGTCAAAATAAGCTCGTGTGAGATAGGGGTCGGTGGAGTAGCCTAGTGGTTAAGGCGTTGGCTCGTCACGCCGAAGACCCGGGTTCGATTCTCCACATGGGCACAATGTGAAGCTCATTTCTGGTTTCCCCCTCCTAGATTCTTCAAGAAATATTCAGCCGTGATATTGCTGGAATATTGCAAAAAGCGGTGTAAAACTAAACTCACTGACTCACTCACTCACTCACTCACTCACTCTCTGTGAGATAGCCCAGGGATTGACCACAATATGGACATGAGTTACCTTCTATCTTTCTCAGATTCGGCATACATCTTGACAATGATGGAACCAGTGTCTTCGGAGATCTGCATTGCAAACACCAGTCTACCTTCGTCAGTAAGTCTGCATGGCTTTCGTAACGATTTCCTGACGTACCTCATATATATGTGTATTTGTGATAGGTCACTATGCGTGCAATTACACACTTTATGCTATAGAGTGGGTACCCGACATGGACTAACCTTCACAACTGACCCTATCGACTGTCTAGCCATTCATACTGTTGAGTGGGTACCCGGCAGAAACTGATTTTTGTTATTTTCTCAACTGACCTGATAGACTATCTCTGGCCATTCAGCTGTAGTGTGGGTACCCGATAGGAACTGTTTTGTGTTATCTTCACAACTAACCTGATAGACTATCTCTAGCCATTCAGCTGTAGTGTGGGTACCCGGTAGGAACTGATTTTTGTAATCTTCACAACTGACCTAATGGACTATCTCTAGCCATTCAGCTGTAGTGGGGGTACCCGGCAGGAACTGAATTTGTCTTTTCGTGCAGCTAATTGATTTTAATGTGTGAATTAACAATCAGAAGTTGTTCAAACGATCGTTAACTGCCATGACGAAGAGACAACAAAGACACATCTAATTCGGACGACAGTTTACTGGTCACCACTCGTATTACCAATGTCAAGGTTACATCGAGTGGGCTATTCCGCACGACTAGTAATTATGAATGACCTGTATACAAGCTTGACCTGTATCATATTTCCAATCGTTACATTAACAAATTCATCTAACTGGATGCATTGACCAACAGCACTAGGCAGAACTCTTTGACTACATTTTAAGAGGCAGCATTTGCCCATTTTAAATTCCAGTGATGACTTTCAGTGATTAATATGGATTGATACTGCCGCTTTAGGACCATACTCATCTATATTATCATTACAGGTTCTGTGAATGCGAGTTTCATCATTGAAGGCGGATACGGAAGGTAAGAAAATGATTACAAAGACTTTCCATGTCAGACAAATTCTTAACGTTGAAAAGATTATTGTCATGAGTTCAGTAAAAGATGAAAATCAGTGAAAATTGGCAAATTCTTAACAAAACTTGACACCAAAACGCAGCTGGTCACATGAACGATGTAAACACATGCTTTTTAGCATCCTCGTACAATTCATCTGCATAAAGCTGGCAGTTGGTTCCCCCCCAAGTTAGTGGCGAAATTCATCTTCAATGTAAACATATATATATATGCATAACATATAGTTAGTGCTTTAGGTGAGTCTAAACGTTTGATAAGTAGTATATTTCAACCTTTCCTTTGGACTTATAAATCACTGTTAATGGTTTATTTCGGCATGGACGAAAATAGGACAATTTAACTCTTCTGAAAAGGATGCATTTCGCCTAAATATGAATGCATTTGCGAATTGTTTTTTTCGTGATTTGTATAAAGCTGTGTTGTTAAGCTTTCTTGAACACTAATACTTTGAAACAGAACTTTAAAAGTTGTTTAAGTAATTCATAAAGGTAGGGGGTAACGTTTCTTTTGGCGTTTCGTGTATTCTAAAACCCCGGAGTGTTCAACTTGTGAGTGTTGTGACTGTTGTTCAGATGATCCTCAACATCTGTTGTTTTCTTGAAGGTCCCAACCCAGTACGGACATTCTCCACGTTAGCAGTACAGGGAAGATCTACATGTTTCAGACATATGCCCGTGAGTTTCACAACCCTAGCTTTGTTCTCTACATTACCTCTGTACATTAAAACACTGACCGTATGGCACAAGAACGGAAGGTCGCGGTGGGCGAACTGGCTAAAGCACCAGGCTAGTGATCCAGCGAGCCTGGGGTGACGGGGTCGAGTCCACCTGTGACCGGGTTAAAATCTTGGAGTCAACTTTGTGTGCAGACTCTCTCAGTGTTGTCACAACACCTAAAGTACAGTACACAACCCTGTGCACTTAAAAGAATCCACGAATCCGTTGGTATATGACCAGAGGTGAGGTGAGGTGAAATTGGGTTTAACGTCGTACTTGAGAATATTTCGCTCATATGACGACGTGCATGCGTGTGTATGTGTATGTGCGGCTGCTTGTACTAGCCCAGCATTAAGCTGGTTTTAAAGTGCTAGCCCACTGAGATACCATGCCCCAGTGAAGAATGAATACCCCACTCAGACACATTATACTGACTCCGAGCCGACCAGTCCTTGTTGTACCCATTAATGCCGAGCGCCAGGCAGGGACCAACAAGTACCATATTTTAACGTCTTTTGGTATGACGCGGTCGGGGATCGAACCCGCGACCTTCCGCTCTCCGGGCGGACGCTCTAACCAGTACACCACGGAGGCGGTCAGTATATGACCAGATGGTGGCCACATGAATACGTGCAAACACCTAGTTGAGGATACAGCAACGTGCAGTAAACTTGGACAAAGTACTGTGACTATGTGTCCTACTCCACCCTGCTGTGAATGGGTACCTCGTAAGGATGGGAAAACCACACTAACTCGGTGCGCCTAGTGGCTGCAAGAGTTGTATGATCCCCAGGGAGTTGAGATTGATAATACGACGTGCCGTTGAGACTGACATCCAATGGTCCAGGGAAAGAACAAAGCGCCTTTGAGCAACTGAGCTGGATATCGGCGCTATATAAATGTATGTATGTAAGGTCGTAGGTACGATGTTAAAAGAGCGCTTGTATTTTCCCTGCCTGGAGCTCGGCGTCATGGGGATGGAACAACGACTGGTATGGTCGATATCAGTACTGTACGTTCATGTTAAACTATGGCATCTGAAAGGGACAAAATAGAACCAGCGTTGGCATTTCAGATACATTTGAAATCAGTTAGTGTTTTACGTTTGTGGGTGAGATTAGAATAAAACGGAATGGTATTGTTTCTAGCCATCTACAGTATATCTCCCTCTACCGGAAGTCAGCGAGGAGGGACACGATTAACCTTGACCGGCAAACATTTTGATGAAACCACCTCAAAGTCCAAGGTCAAGATTGGAGGTTTGTGAACAGTCTCCTTATATCATGATTAACAAGACACAACCAAGACACAATCAAGACACAATCAGAATACAATTAAGACAAGATCGCGATATCTATTAATTACTTTTTTACCACCTTGAACGGAACAGGCCTGTCAGGGAGACATTTATGCATTTCATTGGACCAATGAAACTAACTAATGATAAACACATTATGAACTAGCTGATTGTCATCTTACCCTCACGAGATGTGTCTTTGCTCATAATATTAACCACATGGTTGATTACCAATGATAGATAGTTCACAGGTAAACAATCGGAAAATGTATACCCTCGCGAGAATTAATAATAGCCACCCTAGTGATTGATTTTAAAATTAAGATATTTTCGAACTGGTATAATTGAGTTGACCCTAATCAATTCGTACCTATCTCAGGTATGACATCTGTACTTTTTGCAAAGCGAAGGGTTGGTCTTTGTTGAACAAGATGTTAATAGCAGTATGTGCTTCGTCCAACAGACACGGACTGCAACGTCGTAGAGCCAGTGACCGACACACAGATTGTCTGCGTAACAGCCGTGGATCCCGGAGGATCTAAAGCCCCTACATCAAGGTGTGTATGGGCGACAGCTGTATTGGTCTAGAGCTGAGTAAAACTCGCTCTCAAACATTTTCAGTAAGATAGCTTTGTGGAGAGGCAGCAGGTTCCGTTTACCGGTCGGGTGCAGAGGTTACTGACAAACTTAAAACCACAGTCGGATGGAACCTGTGATTTTGACCATGAGCACAGGTTCCTGGAAAGCGTAAGGGACGTAACTCTGTATAACAAACGGTCCGCCTGTATTATCCACTTATTATTTCAATACTACTCATCTACTGACAAATAAGGACATTTCAAATAGTTAACCGTTAAAGCAACAACAAAACGAAACCAAAAAAACATCACGGTAAGGCCACATAAAATAAATTTCTTGTTTGTCATGACTTTTTAAAAAATGGGTAGGTAGGGCGGATTTTATTTATTTTTTAAATATTTTTTCTGATTTTCCATACAATGTTGGTAGCAAACCTGGAATGCCGGAAGCTGAGGCGGATTTCGGAAGTCTTCCGGCTTCATACACGCAAATTTACCAGTGCCAAAATATATAAAAAATAGCGTCGGGCCACATTTTAAGGTCGGGCGGTAATGAAACAAGAAATTATATTAATGTGACCTTATTTCGAATATTTTTATATTCCTGCAGGTAACAGAGGTCTCGCGTTCGAGATTTGGAACGATACTTACACCGACCTGGCCAGTATCAGTAGCTTGAGTGTCAGTGCTAACGACTACATCCATGACCGCGTGGACATCAGCCACTACACGGAGACCGGTATGAACAACTACGTGACGCGGATGAGCGGCTTCTTCGTGGCGCCCACGACGTCGGAGTACAGGTTCTACATCCTCGGCGATGACCAAGCGGAGCTGTACCTCAGCACAGACGACGTCCCCGCCAACAAGGTGACACTATCAACCAGTGTGCGAAATAGCCACTGACCCGCTAGCCCGTGGGTAGTAAAAATCCAGTCGGGCCAGTAAATCTCCAGAGTCACTGGCTGGTGAATTGTCATGGGGTCATTTTGTAAATATATCACTCTCTCCGACTTGTTATATTATAACAATCGTTTAAATCATGCAAGATTATAGCCTGTTAACCACATTAGCAGCTTAATTACTACTTCCCGACTACTGAATTACCTTGTGGGCTAGTAACTTTCTGGCATAGATAGCCCGATTGGCTAGCAAAATTTGGAACATCTTTCGCACATTGCTGTCAACACTGAGTGGGGTTGGGTGGCCGATGTTGACCCATGACAGAAGCGATGGGTTACCACAGTGGTCGATCGCTCGTCAAACCGAAAACCAGAGTTCAGGTCCCCACATGAGTACTGAGTGTGAAGCCCATTTCTGGTGTGATATTGCTAGAATATTTCTAATAGGAACCTAGTGAGCCTAGAACCATACTCACTCACTCACAGAAGAATATACATGGCGTTAAATTCAGCTTCCTTACTTACTCAGAACAATAAATAGTGTTTCTCCTAGGAACCAAAAAGGCATGTAATGTTAGATTTCCAAATTTTAAAATAGTATTCCTAATCCCAACGAAACAGGCATGCAATGATAGATTTCACCAAAGCTATTATGTAAAGTTATTCATACAGCTTCAATAATTCTTGAACAGACTCAACGAACACAGTTACGGTTCACTTATTGGTATAGAAACTAAAACCACCAGACCCGGGTTAGAATCCCCACATGGGTACAAACTAAATATTTCTGGTGTCCACACAGTATTATTATTCTAAAAGCTATTAATTTGCCACAGCCCTTTCATCTGTGACGGATGAAAACTTCATAATCATACTATTTTTAAGGAACTATGAACTGTTTACGGAATAGCTCATAAACACATTTTCGTGTGGTCCCAGGTCACTAAAAACCTCAAAGACAAAACAAAGCTGCCAGATGCACATATCAGTTTAACAATTCGCACACCTTCCACCTACAATTTCAATAACTGTTGTTGCTACGTTTCATTATAGGTGAAGATGTGCGAGGCTAGTGTTCACAGTACTTACTTTAAGTCATCGAGTCAGCGGTCATCGAAGGTCAACCTCACTGAAGGACAAAGGTACAGTAACACTGACGTACAAAATAAAGAAGGCATTCCTTTTTCAGCCATTCTGCAATACGTTATCATTCCTTCTTCATTTAACCGAAACTCTTCGTCGTTTCTTCTTCATCTAACCGAGACTCTTCAACATTCCTTCTTCAGTCATTCTGCAATACGTTATTATTCCTTCTTCATTTAACTTGAAACTCTTCATTTTTTCTTTTCTTCAGCTATTACATGGAGGTGTTGCACAGGGAGGGCTCTTCGGCGTCGTATGTCAAGGTCGCTGCGCGCGCATACTCTACTGACGTCACCAACACCATGACCGGCCAAGCGTGGCAGGAGAAGCAGAAGCTGGTGTTTACCTCCACAGTTGTCAAGGAAGAGCTGGTGAGATAGGGAGCGGAATGGCTGACATTTACATCATTTAGAGAACATCCTCTTGGCCGCAAATGTAGAGTCACGGCCAGCCATGCCATAGAACATTAAATTTTGACTTGTTTTGGGCGGGATTCGTAACATTATGACATCGCTCGATAACTTCCTGTAACAGTCAATTCCGATTCGGTGTTGACGACAAGACCTTTAACAGTAACACTGGTCAGCTGAATATAAATGTCATGTTTTTGTGTTATTATATCAGACACAAATGTAGGGTTTGGGCAGAGTCTGTGGTGTTCTCTTAATGTAAAGCATGTCGAGGAAAACAGTGGTTAGGACACCCTTAAGTGATTGGTAGCCGTGTTAATATTGCCAAAGCCAAGTAACTGATTACATTATAGGTGTCATCTAATGATGTTAAGTATGTTAAAGTGAGAATTCAATACTCTGAGACCTTACCCATGCTGTTAAGCAACATTCCATGGTTTCAGACCGTCGTTTTGAACACTCCGTCCGCGAAGTCGGCCACCAAAGAAGTTCAGACTGTGCTGGCTTCCGGTAACGCCAATGCCCCGTTCAGACTCGGAGTGATGGGGGTCTACACAGGTGGGTTTCGCGTCACGAATTATCATTTGTAGCTCATGAATGATGACATGACGTAAGTTGACTGAAATGTGGGCCCGATGTCCAATTAAGTGACCAGCGACCCTGCTGGTGAGTGAGTGTTTTACGTCGGGGTAAGTGAAAACGGATACATACTGCCAGACATACATGTACACAACATGCGCACCAAACACACAAAATCATGCGCACTAAACATACAAACACAAAGACCAAAAACACACAAACACGCGCACCAAAACACACACACAAAATACACACAAACACCAAACACACACAACCACGCACACCAATTATACACAAACACGCGCACGAAACACTCACAATCACGAACACCAAATACACACATACACCCACAGCAAATACACACAAACACGCGCACCAAACGCACACAATCACGCGCACCAAACGCACACAATCACGCACACACACCAAATACACACTCACAATCACGCACGCCAAACGCACCAAACACACAAACAATCAAATACTCACATACACGCACAGCAAACACGCACCGCCCAAACGCACACACAAAATACGCGCGCCCAAACGCGCACATACACCCACAGCAAATACACACAAAAACGCGCACCAAACGCACACAATCACGCGTCCCAAACGCGCTCACAATAACGCACAAATCGCAAATACACACAAAATCGCGCTCCAAACGCACACAAACACGCACACCACACAAATACGCAAACGCACAATAACAATACACACATGCATACACTCAAAATCGCAAACACAATAAACACGCACACCAAATACACTCAAAATCGCTTTAAACGGAATACACTCAAATCGCGCTCCAAACGCACACAAATTACGCACACCAATACACACATGCATAACAAACACGCGCTTTAGGAGTATAATCACCATATGCAGGAACGCGAAGTCAAACCTCAACTTTCCGCCACAATATTGAGACCACAACGTTCAGCTAACATCAGACGCACACAACAGTATATAGTTGAAACTCTCACTGGTTGTTAACACCTAACTGTTTAACAGGACCACTGCTGGTTTCCACAACTGCTGCCGAGATGACGACAGCTCTCAACAAACTCCCAGTTATCGCCCCTGACACAGTCACGGTAACGGCAACACCAGAGGGCTCTGGTAACAGTTACAGCATCACCTTCAACACCGACAGAGGTGGGTGTAGCACTCGGTACCTGGAGTGTGTGGATGTAATGACTAGATGTTGAATGTAAAGGTAGTCATAAAGGGACACCGCTGGGCTTCCAAACCTAAGTTATCATGTGATATTGAACCAGTTGTGGCACACAAATAAACCTGTAATGGTGTTTTAACACGCTATCCGCATATTCAATAAATAGTGGTTTGTTTGCGGTTTGCCGCGCTCAGAAATGTTCTGCAATCATTGATTGCGGTCTCTGAAAAATCGATCTTGAACCTGAAAATCCAGTGATTGACGTTATGAGCATAGATTTCCGTAGTGAGGATACGATGGCAAGCAATTGGTCATTAAGTTGACCAAAGCATCACGCTTAAGACACCAATTATTGAGATGCTCCCTTTCTCCACAGGCGACATCCCCGACATCACCTACCAGCTGACTAACGCCAACGTCACCGACCTGACCATCACAGTGACAGAGGCTACCAAAGGCGCGCCGACCCTCGGCTCCTTCAGCTTCGACATCGACGGCATTCCGTCACCAGCACTGACAACCACAGCAACGGCCAGTGAGGTGAGAAGGTTGTGGAGAATGTCTGAGCAGTGTATAGGGTCGATGTGCGTGGTTTAGCATTGAGTAATTGTGTCTATATATCCTTTGGCTAACGCACCTGTCGTGTAATTAATACGTTTTCTGTGGTGACAAGGGACCGTTCCACAAACAGATGTTATCGCTCCGATTGTCGTAAGCCCATGTTATAGGAGTTTAGGGGGCGGTGGGGTAGTCTAGTGGTTAAAGCGTTGGCTAGTCACGCCGAAGACCCGGGTTCGAATCCCCACATGGGTACAACGTGTGAAGCCCATTTCTGGTGTCCCCCGCCGTGATGTTGCTGGAATATTGCTAAAAGCGGGGTAAAGCCAAACTCAGTCAGTCAGTTATTGGAGTTTAGTACTTAGTGTGCGCTCTGGAACCAGGGGCAGCGTTGCTATGGCAGCCAGATATCTGACAATGCCAATGGACGCACCCTGCACGTCCTCGACAACCGTGTAACGATAACCCCACATTTAATGAATCGAATCAGTATTCCATATGTGTTATATCAAATCGTATAACAAATGAAGAGTGAGTGGCCTGATATTGGTCACTCGGTCCTCCACCTCGATGGACAATGAGACATAAATTTTAGCCATTTGACACCCTGTATTAATTTCTGACAAAAAGGTACAACGTATGCTTTGATGTTCTCCATTCACAAGCTCAAGACTTGTTTTACTATGGATTGTATTTGTTTTTCGTTAGTGATTAACTGTTAGAATATGTCAAAATCAGGTAAAAGTATATTTTCAATACGGCACGGGAGCACCCAATATCCAATTCTTTACCTCCGTTCTCTCTCCCTTCCTGAAAATATTAATTACATTCATAATTTTAAAAAAAAACAAAAACGTTTCAAATTAAAAGCGCCCACGTATAATAGGAACTGGTGTACGTCATTAAATGTTCTTGCTTACATATTTTCACACAAATTATAATGTTCAAGGTGCGGTCAGCGTTACTGAGTTTGTTCAGTTCTGGATGTCCAAGTGACTTTGGTCAGCCCTCGGACAACAAGTACTTCCAGGACTACGAGAGCGGAGTGTCGTCCAAGTTTGGCGAGCGAAAGTCCGACGTGGAACCGTTTTGTGGTCGGTTTTCCGCCAAGAATCCCAATTATCTGTACGATAAGGGCGGAAGTGACGTCCTTGGCATCTCCCTGTCACAGTACAACACGGTGAGTGAGTGAGTGGGTAACTGAGTGAATGAGTGAGTGAGTGAGGTATTTGGGTAGTTTGATGGGAGAATGAGTTGATGTATGGGGTTGTGACTGAACGTGTGAGGTATATGCACATGATTTCCCTAAAGTAGGCTAACTTGAGTGAGGAAGTGGGTGTGGGTGAGTTAGTGGGTGTGGCTGGGTGGGTGAGTGAGTGGGTGTGGCTGGGTGGGTGAGTTAGCGGGTGTGGCTGGGTGGTTCGGGGGGTGTAAGTAGGTTTGGTTTGTTGGGTTGGTGAGTTTGTGGATGTAGGTGGGTGGTTTGACTGGGTGTTTTGTATCATTTGTCTAAAGTATGCTGACACGCTGCGATATACATTAATGATGTTAAACCAACTCGCTCGACAAAAACACTTATTTACTGAAAAATGCGGCTTACATTTAACTTAAACTCTGTTCAGAAACAAACAATAACAGTTACAATAAATGTTTTTGTGGCCTTGTTACACCACAACGTTATATGTCCAGTTCTGCTTCGCCTACCGCGGAGACGTGAAGTCGGTGGGTGTGAAGTTCACGTACGAGGACACGGACAGAGAGAAACACTCCACCTGGACAAGTTTCTCCATCACAGCACCAGATGACGTCAGCCAGTGAGTGACAGCATGAGCAATGATAAATAAACGAGGATTGTAGTAACAGCGATTAAACGAACATATGCCGTTTTAATAAAGACATCATAATCTGTAAATCATGGTTTCGTAGCTTGTACGCGTGTCCTTCTTTGCATGTCTTTGTTTTCTTTTGGGTTTTTTTCGGATACCTTATCGTATATGTACAGATATACCACATTTTTAATTCAGATGTTATTTGTAATGTATTTCGGACACATAAACCACATACAAACATAGTAAAGGCTGTAAATTGTAAGTCGGACCTTGTCAGATATTTTGATCTCAGAGACAGAAAGCCCTCACAGAAAGCAAATCAAACCTCGACTTAACATTCTCGTGAGTGCAGATGGATGAGCCATGGCGCTCAGAAACGACAGTAGAGTTAGTATTTTCTCTTTTTTCATGTTTTTATCTTTTTCACTTTAATGGACGTGAGTTTGTTCATATCTACTCAACCCTACTTTTCTGATTTGCTGTGCTGTTCGGAAAGGGTATGCTATTTTCTTCTTCTTAATTTATTGCAAATATTACATAAATGTGGCCTCACTCCCTCATCCTTTCACTCACTCAGATGGAACTACCACTGTGAGAACATCTACGATGCCGCTCGAGCCCACCGCTCCTCCGGCTCCGACCACAGGGTCGACCGCGTCACCATCACACGGAGGTCGTCGTCTCTTGACCTCTACGTGGACGTCGTGGCCATCGTCAGAGAGCCGACAACAACTGATACAGGTACGACTACATAATGGAAGCTGAATCAGCTGATTAGCGTTATTAAAGGTTGCAAACACTTTAGTAAGAAGAGTACTCTTATATCGCATCATCCACTTCGCTGACATGCTCTAAGCGCATACACGTCACAGTTCACTATTACCCTGGATAATCCAAGCTGCCTGTGAGGTTATAGTCACATGACTCGTCCCACCGGGTACCCATTTTCTGCTGGGTGAACAGGGGCAATTTTAAACAATCTTACTTGCCTAAGGTGAGACCATATGTATCGCATGTGCTTCGCTGCGGGCAGGGACTGAAGTCCTAGAAACTCTCTCTAGTCAAGCTGACAAACACGGTCACCCATCTAATGGCTCTCCGCGAACGTTGCTTAACTTCAACTGGTTTATGACCTGAGCTCTATCCACAGGGCCACACACCACCGCCACTTTATGTGTGTCCTCACACATTCTCTTCCCACAGAGGTTACTTGTCATATCTTCCTTCGAACGTCTGTTCTAATACGGCCATATTTCCCGGTTCTCGTAAAATCCCCTAGCGCCAAAAGATCGCAACACGAATAATCGCCCTTCTTTCTATCCAATCAGAACACGTGTTATATCGACTTAGATCCAACTTGACTAATACAATCAAATGTGGGGCCACAAATATCACTCCTCTGCCAGGGACTTGTGATGATGTGACTCACAAGACATTTAATGGCTAGCTTGTCCGTTGTCAACGAGGGTGATGGAGACGCCATTGATAGGCCATTATATGACTGAGTTCTGTCTAGAAGGAACGTTTGCCAATGATCACTTTTGAAACAACATCGCTGATTGCACAACTAAATCTGATTGCAACCAATCACGAATCCTGAACACTCGCACCATGGAAGGGCCGTATTAGAACAGAGGTTCGTCGGAAGATATGACTAGTAACCTCTGTGGGAAGAGAATGGTCCTCACACAGATGTGTGGGAAAACCGGATCTTCATTGACAATATTGTCAATTGAGACCCTTTACAGTAGTTTAAATTAAATTTCAAACCAGTGAATAATATTTCGAGGGCAGAATCTGATATTACATGGTTGTTAACACCTTTTTGTAACTATAATATAAAAACGATGCATGAGGTGTTCACGGACTCAGTGGAAACTATCAGAATCTGTCTTCTGCATGTGGAATAACATGAACTGTCTCTTTGAAGTAAGCAGAGATTACCGTCTGAAGATATTTTCGACAAAATTAACATATTTTTCTCATTAAGGTTAGAAAAGGAGACCAAAGCATAAATGCAATGTGACTTAATTTATCCTTTCATTGTATTTGTAAAATGGGAGTGATTTTGGTCGTTTTCAGATGGCGTTAACCTCCAAAGACTGCGCCAGGCACGTCCTAACGGGGTGTACATCAACGACGTTGAAGTGACCAGCTCCGAGGCTGGTCAGTACACGGTCAAGCTGGACCCCCATGCATGTGGCAATGAGTTCCCCCTCTTGGGGGTAGCATACGGCAAGGTGAGACAAGATGTGTGTCAAAGGTCATCCTAATCATTTTCCTTTTGCTTGGCATTCCTGGTGTCCCCCGCCGTGATGTTGCTGGAATATTGCTAAAAGCGGCGTAAAACCAAACTCAGTCAGTCAGTCCTTTTGCTTGGACAAACCAACATGAACAGAATTTTTTCCGGTGTATAAATAGTGTATTTACATGAAATTACATCACAGACTAATACCGTGATGTCATCAAATCAATAGATTGATGTCATTCCTTTTCTCTTTCATTTTATTTTTACTAGGGAAAGGTTGTAACTCACTGTAGAACAAATAATCGCATTCCGTTATTCCTCCTAGTTCCTTGGTTATTCGCACCTTTTTTATTGAAGACTTTTTTCACTAACGATGTACATTATAATTTGTTCACTGGTCACGAGGGGGGCATGGGTTGATCAACCCATCAACCCATGGGCCCCGAGGGACCAGTGAACAACGTATTTATCTTACCGAGCACCTTAGTGTTTATTTTGAATTGTTTGAAGCACGGGTACAGATTTAGAGTTATCTCCCTTCCATCGATTTGCATTCGATAAACATCGGTAATTTCCGTCCATCATATTACGTGATTCAATTATGTAATTCGAGATAAAGAATTACTACCACGAAGTACCAAATGAGTTGCCATTGACAGCGGGGTACATTGAAATGTTACTCGCTTGTAAGCGGGGTACATTGAAAACAATAAAAGAGCGCTCAGCCAATCAGAAAATGACATTTATGTGTGCGGTAAGATAAATGGTTGTATCTGTTTGAATGTATGCTTTTCTAATGGGCCAATCCATTGCCGCTAATAGTGACACGTTGCTGCTGCTGAACGAAAAGTGGATGAAGAGATGGATATATGCCGTTACTGCTGCAGAGATGAGCAATAAATGTGTCTGGGTGGAAATATAATCTTCTGAGCTTCAATATCGAGATAAAACATTATCCCCAGCAACCCGTGTCCTCAGTATTGAGTGAGTGAGTGAGTTTAGTTTTACGCCGCACTCAGCAATATTCCAGCTATATGGCGGCGGTCTGTAAATAATCGAGTCTGGACCTCACAAATCAGTGATCAACAGCATGAACATCGATCTGCGCAATTGTGAACCGATGACATGTGTCAACCAAGTCAGCGAGCCTGACCATCCGTTATTCGCCTCTTACAACAACCAAAAGCGGTAAACAGGACTCGCTGATTCGTTGATACATGTTATCGTGTCCCAATTGCGTATATTGATCATGATATCAATCACTTGGTTGTCTGGTAGAATTTTTTACAAATCTACGTCTTAAATCTGGAATATTGCGGCGATCAACACACAAACAATAAACAAACTACTTTTTTCTTCAGCTGACAAGTGGGGACATCTCCAACACCAGCAGCACCGCTTCCTTCTCCGTCTCCAACGGCGGCTCGAAACTCGGGGTAGACATCACCAGGGTCAATGCAGCATCGCCACCTGTCGGGGGAACTTTCACCGTGTCGTACAAAGGGCAGACAACCGAAGGTACGTAGTGTGTTCACTTCAACATCGAATACTACCTCCATACTCATGATTATCTATTAAAGGGTGAGTATCTTCCATTCTGTATCCGTAGGAGGCGACAAACGGGATCGGGTGGTCAGGCTCGCTGACTGGGTTGACACATGTCATCGGTTCCCAATTGCGCAGATCGATGCTCATGCTGTTGATCACCCCAGGTCCGTGATATTGACTGAAATAAACTCACTCTCCATATTGCTGAGTGTGGCGTAAACCAAACTCACTCAATGAGTGAAGCCAGTCCATGCTGTATCCCTCAGTGCGATGAACATCCGTGAAGATCCGGGTTAGAATTAGTTTTCAGCGACCCATGCTTGTCGTAAGAGGGGATCGGGTGGTCAGGATCGCTGACTTGGTTGACACATGTCATCATATCCCAATTGGGTAGATCGATGCTCATGATGTTGATCACTGGATTGTCTTGTCCAGATTCGATTATTTATAGACAGCCGACATTTAGCTTGAATATTACCGAGTGCGGCGTTAAACAACAAACAAACAAACACAAACGTGTTATATTTCCCAGTATTACTTCTATGCTGGTTCTGAAGTTAGTAGTGGTCGCTCTTCCCACCTCTCCCGTCACCTCTCATCTTCTTAAAAACATGGGGCGGTGTGGTAGCCTAGTGGTTAAGGCGTTCGCTCGCCCGGGTTCGATTCCCCACATGGGCACAATGGGTGAAGCCCATTTCTGGTGTCCCCCGCCGTGATATTGCTGGAATATTGCTAAAAGAGGCGTAAAAACTAAACTCACTCACTCACTCTTAAAAACCTGCATCCTCATATGAACTCATTTACAGAAGTCTTGTCACCGAATAGGCGTTGACACCGCTGCTCAGAAAATGAACATTTTTATTTCTTATTCCGGCACAATGATTTCGTTCCGGTTCCTTACTTTTTTTTCATTGATTTTATTTTTACACTTTTTCATATTCACAATTCACTGTTCCAGGAATGCCACCAACGTCACTTGCGGAGGAAGTGACGGACCAACTTCAGGCGCTGAGCACCCTAGGTAATATGAAGATTGAGAAAACCGGAAGTTGCTCCAATTTTGAGTACGTCGTGACATGGTTGGACCAGGGCGGCAACTTGGAAGAAATGACGGTAAGGAGACAAGGCTTCTTTTGAAACATTGTTCATGTTTTCATATTAATGAAATAGAAAACAAATTCATTCCCAGACATCTCGAGGACAGTATGTGCTGTAACTGCTGATTCTCGTATCACTGTTTTGGGGCGATGGGGTAGCGAAACGTTCGCTCGTAACCACGAAGATACGTGTTCTATTCCCAACATCGGTACAATGTGTGAAACCCAGTTCTGGTGTCCCCCATATATCGTTGGAATATTGCTAAATGCGGCGTCACTCATGTAACTCTTCCCGATCGTCATGCATCTCACCCGTTCTGATGTATTGTGACAGCCATAGCCCGTGACATTGTGCTCAGTTTTTAAAGAAAGAGTGGTTGTTAAAACCTAGTTTTCATGAACAAGAATGGATTTTTCTTGGTAGCCACAAAACCCTTCACTCAATCCTCAACATCATTTTATATTCGACCTGCAATCCACTGACGTCACTTTTAACGGACGTACGGTCATCTACGGTTACATCACTTTTAACGGCCTTATCATCTGGTTACCACTTTTAACGGACATACGGTCATCTACGGTTACGTCACTTTTAACGGACGTACGGTCATCTACGGTTACGTCACTTTTAACGGACTGACGGTCATCTACAGTTACGTCACTTTTAACGGACTTACGATCATCTACAGTTACGTCACTTTTAATGGACTTACGGTCATCTACGGTTACATCACTTTTAACGGACTTACGATCATCTACAGTTACGTCACTATTAATGGACTTACGGTCATCTACAGTTACGTCACTTTTAATGGACTTACGGTCATCTACAGTTACGTCACTTTTAACGGACTTACGGTCATCTACAGTTACGTCACTTTTAACGGACTTACGGTCATCTGCAGTTACGTCACTTTTAACGGACTTACGGTCATCTACAGTTACGTCACTTTTAACGTTACGGTCGTACAGCTACGTCACTTTTAACGGACTTACGGTCATCTTTCGTTACGTCACTTTTAACGGACTTACGGTCATCTACGGTTACGTCACTTTTAACGGACTTACGACTTTGCAGTCACGTCTACTTTTAACGTTATGGTCACTTTTAAGGGACTTACGGTCATCTACGGTTACATCACTTTAAATGGACTTACAGTCATCTACAGTTACGTCACTTTTAACGGACTTACGGTCATCTACGGTCACGTCACTTTTAACGGACTTACGGTCATCTACGGTTACGTCACTTTTAACGGACTTACGGTCACGTCACTTTTAACTAACTTACGGTCACTTACGATTACGTCACTTTTAACACACTTACGGGCACGTCACTTTTAACGGGCTTACGGTCATCTACGGTTACGTCACTTTTAACGGACTTACGGTCATCTACGGATACGTCACTTTACGTCATGGTTTCTGCATTTACACAGCAGAAATTCCATAAATGTCCACATTGTAACATAACTAAATCAGTTGAACGTCTCAAAAGTCTTTGCATTATTCTTTATCAGATGGACACCAGCCTGCTGACTGGAAGTAACGTGGCGGCGTCTGTAACTACTGTCACCGACGGCAGTTTGTGGTACGACCCCATCGTCGGCGACATGTTGAGGACCGGCCACAGCAAGGCTCAGGTAAAACGACACGAGATAAATCATGTCCTGGAACGATAAAACATATTGACGAAACTCTACGAAACTATAAGAATGAAATATTTAAAATGACATTTTTAAGCAGAAAATACTTTTCAAATAACACCAAATCACAATATATTCCATAGGGTCAAAATAGAAAATCAGTCGGTTGGTTGTTATTTAACGCCGCACTCAGCAGTATTCCAGCTATATGACGGCGGTCTGTAAATAATCGAGTCTGGACCAGACAATCCAGTCATCAACAGCATGAGCATCGATCTACGCAATAGGGAACTGATCACATGTGTCAACCAAGTCAGCGAGCCTGACCACCCGATCCCGTTAGTCGCCTCTTACGACAAGCAATGATTGCTGAAGATCAGTTCCAACCCGGATCTTCACGGGTCAGAAAATTTGTGATGACACCAGGTGTTTTGGAAAAGGGTAGCGGTGTGTTGCCTCACTCGCAACAGCCGTCAATCATACAATCTACACAAAAAGTAAATGTTTGTTTGTTACCGGTTACCAGTGATTGACCTCTGTGCCACGGGACACCCCTAAGGATGTGCCTTTGTGGAATTACAGCAAGCAGATGCTTTACATTTAATTTGTATTTTAAATATTTTATGTATAGGTGCAGCTGTTCATCAACGACATCCCCAGCCACTGTACGACAGACTGCAGCTATGAGTGGACATCGGTCGCCACGCCCACTATCACGTCCATCACGCCCACGTCAGGTGATTCAATAGATACCGCAAATCATTGAATGTCGGTCACTGTCATGAAGTCAATGAGAGAAAAATCAGCCTTGTAAATAGCAATATTAAATCTGCAGACAAAGACTTTCATGATAAAACTTCAGACATGATTGACTAACCATTTACGGTCTTGACAAATTTAACGGCAGCTTGTAATTGACATGACATGATAATATACTTGACAAAATAAGTTAGGGATATTGGTATTTTTATGATTAATATTTTATCAGTGTGGCAATGAATAAATAGATCATTAGTCATAATATCAAAATTTGCATATATCCCTAACTATTTTTGACCAGTATATATACCAGTTGCAAGATAAGCATTCTCCATATCCAGATTCAAAATTTGTTTCGCATCAATATGAAGCTCGCATTATGTTTAGGATTGACAGATTGCTCAAGCGCTGTTTTAAATACACAGTCCCCACTTTGGTAGCACAGGTTGACAGGATAGAGCTGGGACAATACTATAGTCTGTTTGCAGTGAAAACGTACCGATGCATTTCGCATTAAACAGGAAAGTAAATCGAATAAAGTGAAATTAAGATTGCAAATCCTCATAATGTTACCTTGCCAATTGAACATTTAAATCTCAGAATTTTATTCAACTAAGGATAAAAGTTGTTTTGCAAACGATCATAGTTTCAAATCGCTATTGCTGCTGTGTATTACAAGGGGGTATGCACATTAAATGAAACACCGAGAACAAGTAGGGTTAACGCACATAACGTATCTCACGTGCATTTGTTTCTCTGTTCCAACTACTGCGCTTACCCCTTTGTAATACAAACCAATAATAGCGACATAAAATGGCCTTGTGTAATCATAATTTACAAATATTTGAGAGATCTTAGCAGGTTATGTAACGATGTGAGTTCTATACATATTTGGCATTTCTTACAGTGACGTCCATTATGTCATTCCTTTTGTTACCAGGAACCGAAGCTCAGAGTACAAGTGCCACCATCGCCGGCTCTGGTTTTGACACAAATGTAAACAACAACTTAGTAACCATTGCTGGGGTCACGTGCAACGTCACTGCTGCAACAACGACATCAATCACGTGCAGCGTTGGTAATGGGCCAACTGGTAGTCACAATGTCAAGGTCGTTGTGGACGGTAAAGGGGAGGCAAGCGGGTCTGTCCAGTTTTCATACGTATCCGCGATCACCGGCATATCGCCCAGCACCGGCAGCATCGCAGGTAAGACAACGTGATCATCATGAGCGCGTCATCATCGGATCGGTGGGATTACCTAGTAGTTAAAGCGTTGGCTCGTCACGCCAAAGACCCGTTCGAATCTCCTGGGTATTGAGAGCCCATTTCTGGCCCTTGTTGCTGGAATATTGCTAAAAGCGGCGTAAAACCAAACTCACTCACTCACTCATCAATAGATCGTTGTGATTACGTTAACGTGAGTGTAACTCCTGATTAGAGAGATGGCACTTTGAAATTTGAAAACAATATCGTAATTGTAGCTCATCGACAGTCGTATAATAATGTGGGAACAATGTGTGAAGCCGATTTCTTGTCTTCTTGTGTACCCCGCCGTGATATAGATGGAATATTGCTGAAAGCGGCGTAAAACTACACTCACTCGTTGTATCATAATGCATTTGAGGTGATTTCGTTTTGACGCAACAATCCAAACTAACAAACCTATGTCTCGCTAAATCATGGAATTCGAAATCCAAGAGAGTGCTATTGGCAAGAATGGCATGACGTACGAGTATTTTATTCCAGGTCGCCACTTCTTCATTTTCATGATTCACAGCTTCCACTGTCAATAAACACCTGATATGGACCACACAAAACAGAGTATTTAGGTATTTGTGTTCGGCAATCAACGTTTGACAGAGGTTACCAACGGGTTCTGGTGGTCAAGTTCGCTGACTGTCTTGATACATGTCATCGTATCCTAATTCGATGTTCGATGGTCCGTGGGGTAGCCTAGTGGTTGAAGTGTTCGCTCGCCACGCTGAAGACCCGGGTTCGATTCCCCACATGGATACAATGTGTGAAGCCCATTTCTGGCGTCTCCCGCCTTGATATTGCTGGAATATTGCTAAAAGCGGCGTAAAACCATACTCACTCATTCACTCGATGTTCTGTGGCCATCCTTGATTATCTGGACCAGATTCTTGTCGGTGGTGTAGTCTGATGGTAAAAGCGTTCGCTCAGCACGCCAAAGACCCGGGTTTGATTCCCCACAATGTGTGAAGCCCAATGGGTACAATGTGTGAAGCCCATTTCTGGTGTCCCCCGCTGACATTGCTGGAATATTGCTAAAAGCGGCGTAAAACTAAACACACTGGCCCAGACTCGAATATTACACACCGCTGAAATGTAGCTGAGAGCAAACAAAAACCCACACCAAACCACCAAAAATGAAACCTTGTTATGCCCAACAAGAGCGCTATATTGAGCTTCACCTCACGCTTGACCCGGTTACTGCACAATGTATTTTACATTATGTGAATGTGCGTTGCATTTGAATATCTTCTATGATCACGACTACTCTCTATGCTCTCAGGTGGCTCGGCATTGACGATATCAGGCTACGGCTTTACCAACGACGGATTGACCTACGTCGACGGCGTCCTCTGTCCCTCAACCAGCGTTACTCCAGCACAGATTATATGCCTCACCCCAGCTGCGGTAGGTAACTGACTCAAATACATTAACCACACCTGGATAGTGGCAATATCAGACAAATAGTACCAGTACAAACTTAACAGACACTAGGAATATATATATTTACCTTGATCCTTCAAAGACCGCCTCCGTGGTGTAGTAGTTAGAGCGTCCGCCCGGAGAGCGGAAGGTCGCGGGTTCGATCCCCGATTGCGTCATTCCAAAAGACATTAAAATATGGTACTTGTTGGTCCCTGCCTGGCGCTCGGCATTAATGGGTACAACAAGGACTGGTCAGCTCGGAGTCAGTATAATGTGTCTGAGTGGGGTATTCATGCTTCACTGCGGCATGGTATCTCAGTGGGCTAGCACTATAAAACCAGCTTAAGTCTGGGCTAGTACAAGCAGCCGCACATACACATACACACGCAGGCACGTCATCATATGAGCGAAATATTCTCAAGCACGACGTTAAACCCAATTTCACCTCACCTCACCTTGATCCTTCAAAGCCAAATCATTCAAATGAGTTTTGTCATATGGAAGTGTCTGGTGCCTGGTTGAGGTGTATGCCAGGCACATCCCCTATTGATAAACCATTCATGCAAAATGATTAAAGAAATGAATCAAATTAGGCCTCTGCGTCATGAGCTGCTGTGCGAGGTGTTGGTTAATGTTCATCCATGTTATCCCGAATATTCAGGCCTCTACGTCATGAGCTGCTGTGCGAGGTGTTGGTTAATGTTCATCCATTCCGACTATTCAGGCCTCTACGTCATGAGCTGCTGTGCGAGGTGTTGGTTAATGTTCAAGCATGTTATCCCGAATATTCAGGCCTCTACGTCATGAGCTGCTGTGCGAGGTGTTGGTTAATGTTCATCCATGCTATTCCGACTATATCAGGCCTCTACGTCATGAGCTGCTGTGCGAGGTGTTGGTTAATGTTCATCCATGCTATTCCGACTATATCAGGCCTCTACGTCATGAGCTGCTGTGCGAGGTGTTGGTTAATGTTCAAACATGTTATCCCGAATGTACAGGCCTCTACGTCAGGAGCGGCAGTGGACGTCACAGTCAGTCAGAACAGCGCTAATCTGACGTCACCGACTCAGTTTACATACGACGTATCGTCATCCTCCATCATCTCGTCCATCTCAGTCACGACATCAACAGTTGAAGGTAATGTGTTCAAGTAAACACCGGCGTGTATGCCTTTTTAACTCATAAATGTTTCACAACTACTAATTATCATGATACTCTTGGAACATCGTCACACAATTCGTAAGTCATGCATAAGTGTGTCTGTAAGGACACCGAATGCGGTTTCCTATCTATCTATCTATCTATTTCCATCTATCTATCTATTTCTATCTTTCTTTCTATCTCTATCTCTGTCTATCTATCTATCTATCTATTTATTTCTATCTACCTATCTATCTATCTATCTATCTATGTCTATCTATCTATGTCTATCTATCTATCTATTTCTATCTATCTATTTCTATCTATCTATCTATCTATTTCTATCTATCTATCTATCTATTTCTATCTATCTATTTCTATCTATCTATGTTTATCTATCTATCTATTTCTATCTATCTATCTATCTATTTCTACCTACCTACCTATCTATCTATCTATCTATCTATCTATCTATCTATCTATTTCTATCTATCTCTCAATCTGGCACTCGATATAATGGGATAAGGGGTAAGAATATTTTTCAAATATTTTTATCTCGCACCAGATCATACATTTTAACAACGAAGGGGTAACGAGTACAATGAACCTTTTGTAGTACCTCAATGCATGAAAATTCAGGAAGGCAGGAGAAACACGAAACTTGCGGACAGGTTTATAAAAAGAGCACCACTCGTACCGTCTGAGGTATTGCAAACACATGCCAATGATAATCCTGAGAACAGTATTTCACCCTTGCCCAACACAATTCACATACGCGCTTGCATCAGTCACCTATTCCATATGACGTATTACTCATTGGGATATTTTCTTAAAATAATGAATTTATTCTTTTCTTTAGTCCGATGTTCAGTCAATCAATTTATGAATCACCATGTCTCTAACCTACCTGCAGGTGGCGCAACCATCACCATCACCGGTACAAGTTTTGGTTCATCTGCCGACCCAGCCGAACCCCTGACAGTCGGGGGCAAGGCGGCCAATATCACCAGCTACGCCGACACACAGATAGTGGCGACTCTCCCCTCCAACGCTCCAGGATCCTATCCAGTGCTGCTGCAGACTGGCGGTCAAGGATTAGCTGATCTCAGGTACGCCATCGGATCTGGACACATCTTATGGTCGAATTTCTTAATTTCGTTTTCATAGGGCCTGTAAGTCTCGCGAGACGCTACTTCCGGTACTAAGCTGGTTTCCGGATCCCTTTGCGCGCGCCAACTTGCGATATGCGAGACGGGGCCCGGCTTACCTCCGTTACCAGATTTCCGGTGACAAGCGTATATTCAAGAACCAGTGCTGGTTCCAAAATGCCCGACCGCCAAATATGACTTTACTAAACCGGAAGTGTACAACCATTCGGAAAGGTATGAAACGTTGTTTGTCACTGGAAGTACTAAGGTCTCGCGAAGTGCCGTGACCTACTAACGGGCCCTAATGCCTGTCTGCTATCTTATCAGGATCAAAATTGTAATTTGTAAGTCACAGGAACAATATCGTTTTTAACTTAATTTGGGGTCAGAGCGGCAAAACGTTCATTCAATGCCGAAGTTAGATGTATCGCATAATCGTCTGACAGCAACCAAAAATCGAACTTAGTTACTTTTACCTGCTTGCAAGAGTGACTTTAACGTTTTGTACCCATTTTGGAATCGAACCTGGGCTTTCGGCGTTACAAGCTTGAGCTCAGCTAATAAGCTTCCCAACCATGCCCCACTGGACACCGATTGTGTAATCCGATGGAAATTATGCCGATGCAGGCAATATCAGATATTTCAAGCTTTGATACCACGTCAAGTGATGTTTGTTGGAAAAATGGGACCGATACTGCTAGCGTATAATAATATTCTTGTCATAGTAGAGATGTCCCCTACGGTCATCCATACTCACGCTTCTATTCAATGTATGTTTTAGAACCAACACTGTCCCCAATATCGACTACGTCCTGAAGGTGACCAACATCTACCCGTCGCGGGGCTCTCTGTACGGCGGTACTCGACTGACCATCACTGGCGAGGGGTTCCTGGACAACAACACGCTGGTCAGTTTCGGACCTCACGTCTGCGTCCCCAACGTCATCAACAACACTCAGGTCGTCTGCACCATCCAGGATACAGGGGTGGTACCACGAGGTCAAAAACACGGGCACACATACATGTACGTATCTACGGTTAAGGAGGGTCTTAACTGGGGTGTTTGGCAGTCCTTTTCAGTTTTACACAAACTGTGTGATTGTATGATCTGGCAAGTATTGGTTACCCTGAATACCAGATAAAATGTTAACTTTCGTTCATGACATCGGATGGTTATTGACCGAAGATAACCCCCGGTGATCAACATCATGAGCATCTATCAAATGGGCTACGATGACATGTATCAACTAAGTCAACGAGCCCGACCCCGATCCCGGATGCGCGTTGAAAGGAAGACCCATAATAACTTTCCGTGGACTTTCATGTTGAAATTGTTAAATACTGACTTACTGAGTTTGGTTTTACGCCGCTTTTAGCAATATTCCAGCAATATCACGGCGGGGGACACCAGAAATGGGCTTCACACATTGTACCCATGTGGGGATTCGAACCCAGGTCTTGACGAGCCAACCTTTTAACCACTAGGCTACCCCGGCGCCCCGAAATTGTTAAATAAAGCACCACTTATATATCATAGGCCATAATTATTTCTTATATCACAGTCTTATTACACGATGGTCCTTATCACATAGAGCTCTTTCTAATAAGGATGCAACATAACGGTACCCGAATTAAGGGTGCTAGAAGCCTTTGTATCGGGAGGTTTACTGGACTCTGGATCTATGTTGTTTATGTGTTTAGACTTCGGATACGGATATGCCTGGAATCCCAGCAGTCTTGAAGTGAAGGTCGGGGACTCCGTCAAGTGGTCTTGGACCACACCCAAATGGGTGACTGGCATCGGGTACCGGATAGTAGAGCTGGTGAACGCCAGTACAACGGTGGAGAAGACCAATGGCGTCAGTTCCGGCAGTACCAAGGTTGCAAATGGTGGGTACAAATTACCGTTAGATGTCAGTAAATATGTATTACCAATTTTTCATATACAGGGCTTATCAATATTGATATTGATTCATGTTTCTGGTTATGAATTGTATCAATTATTAGTGAGAGGGATTAAAGTCACTATGAACAATACTCAAGTGACACTAGGGCCTCGCTGCTTCATGCTGAAAGAATCGATGCATGCAATACTAATTAATCTTAAAACATATTAGAAGATTTAGTGAAATCATAAAGCAAAGTTGTTTATTTTGAAAATACGGTTTTGGTTCAACTGTCATCCCTTGAGACGACCCGTGAAGATCCGGCTTAGAATTGGTCTTCAGTAAGACATACCTTGTCGTAAGAGGCGAGTAACGGGATCGGTTGGTCAGGCTCGCTGACTTGCTTGACAGGTGTCATCGCATCCCAAATGCGTAGATCGATGCTCATGCTGTTGATCACTGGATTGTATGGCTGTAGTATTGCTGAGTACGGCGGAAAACAACAAACCAACCAATCAATCACCCCATGAGACATAAACAACATCAATTCAAGTATCTGGAATATCTCCAGTCCCTCATTGTACAAAATCAGCACATGCGTTTAGAAACTGAAATATTAAAAATTAAGCAAAACAAGGATACAGAGAATGCTGAATACAGCTACAGATGTACATGATATACACTTGATGATATATATCCCACAGGTCAGTACCAATACAAGTTCGGGGCGGCAGGGAACTTCCATTACTGGAGCGGCTACGCTGATGAGTTCGACACCATCTCCTTGAAGGGCAAGGTCACGGTGGTACAAGCACCGTCACACACCAAGGTTCTCCGACTGACCGTGTTCGGCCACGAGGCTGTGTATCAGACAGGTATCTATGGCCCTTTCGTCACACTTCAAACAGATATGTCCGTTACTTGGACCTATGTGGACCATCTACCAACCAGTTGTTTGAAACAGGCCAAACGTTCTTTGGTCATGAAAAACAATGTGATTCGTCACAATACCCGGCCACTATCACCGCGATCCAATTTCAAAATGGGCGATGTACTCAATCGACAATTGATTAATTGGTTAAAACAGAGTTCATTCGTCCTAATGACACTTCTTAATTTCTTTTGAATCCCAGTTCGCGAGGAATATGTTCCTTCCACCATACCTGTACTGATAGGTGTCAGTAAAACCGTCCTACATCACTTAATTGGCTTAATTGTCCTAAGACGACCAAGATCACTTAATTGACTGATTAAAAGCCAATGTATGTCCTTAATTCTGCGGCAAATGTCATTTCAAATTCCCGAAGTGGAATTTTCATGAATAATTTTATATATTTTATATATTTCCAAGTTTTATATATGTATATATATTTCAAATGTACTTACCCTCTTCATGGCTGTATAGTAATAATCAGCAAAACCTTGATAAATGAAGAATAAACTAAAAGGTTTTAATTCCTACACTATTACATACAATGCAATGTCGAAATTGAATGTAAGATGACCCCACCTGATGTAAGTAATAAAAACTGACCGTCACTCTTTGTTTCCCACAGGAGGCGCGGATCCTGCTCCGAACGGCCCTTGTCCCGGAACGACCGACGGTGCTGACGGCTGCACAGATTCCGAGCCAGCTGATCTCGACGCGTCCAAGTTCAATTTTAAATTCTGGCGCTGCAGTTCCCCTGTCGTCACTGACCTGAACCTGAGACAGGGGTCGTCTGTGGACGAGCTTGTGGTTCGGGGGTCAGGGTTCAGCTTAACAAACTGCCAGAATGAAATCAGGATTGGGAATGCTGTGGGTGTCGTTCAGTCCAGCACGAACGAGTCCGTGACATTTAGGATTGACTCCACAAACTCTCCAAACGTTGGCGTTCCCGGGGAACTGTCCATGAGTATTGGGAACCGAGGGAACGCGGCGATAGCACTCCCTGGAGACCTGTCCCGGAGATTCGTCCTTCTACCCGTGATCGAGTCAATGTCGCCGTCCTCAGGGTCGACAGGAGGAGGAACTCTTGTCACTCTCTCGGGGTCAGGGTTCCAGGGAACAAAGTCCGATGTGTCCGTGAGTCTACAGGGATATGAGTGTGTTCTGGAGAGTCTTAACTATACCGATATTATATGCTCCACCCCATCTGGTCCTGTTGGAGAGGTGACGGTGTCGGTGACGGTCCAAGTAGGCGGCAACGCGCTACCTGTGTCGTGTAACACCAGCTGCAACTACAACTACTCCACAGATCTGTCTCCAACTGTCAGTTCCGTGACTCCGGCAACGGTGAACACGTCATCAACATCCTTGACAATCACTGGGACCATGTTTGGGACATCTGCCGCTGACGTCACTGTAACCGTAGGGGGAGTGCCTTGCGTTCTTAATGGATCAGTGTCGGATACGACAATTGTGTGTGACGTTGGTGACGTGCCTGTCGGCACCCACACAATTGATGTCCGGTTACAGGGCAAAGGGAGGGCTGTTACTACATCCACGGTTCAGAGCCTGGCAACCATTTCATCGCTGTCACCATCATCTGGCAGCGTCAACGGCGAAGTCGTTTTAACGATAACGGGGAATGGTTTCGTCACAGACTCGACCACAGTATCAGTTGATGGCGGCAACTGCACCATCGTCTCCGTCCACGAAACCAACATCAGCTGCATCACTCCATCCCATGCTGCGGGATCTGTCGACGTAGTAGTTACGTCAGCGGGAACAACGTATCCATCCGAGACGTTCACGTACTCCACAGCAGCGACGCCGACGGTGTCATCGGTGTCTCCAACAAACGGAATCGGCGGCAACACAGTCACGATCGCCGGGACCGGTTTCAGCTCCAGCGACTCCGACAACACTGTCACAGTTGGAGGGGTCACGTGCTCAGTCACAGCCTCGTCTTCGACGTCCATCACGTGCACGCTAGGCGACCAGCAGACGGGGACCTATCCAATCAAAGTGGTCGTGTCCGGAAGTGGGGCTTCTGCGCAGACAGTGGAAGTGACGTATGAAATGGACGCCTCTGGGATTTCCCCTTCAACAGGTACATAGACATAATTGGACTCAAACATGAACCTTACATATTCACACCCCAAAATTCTGTTAGTTACTCTTCTTTCTTAGGGTAGCCAAATTACGTAAGAAAGCATGAAGCCTCCTATGATATTGCTGGAATATCCCAAGCGGCATAAAACAATAGTGAAACACAAGAAATGGGCTTTACACATTGTAAAAGAAATCACATGAATTGTTCATGGAACAATGATTAGAAAAATGCGTATTTCTAAAGTGCACTTTCCCCGTGCATGTGGGTTGCACTGAAATAGGGGGCGGTGGGGTAGCCTAGTGGTTAAAGCGGTCGCTCGTCGCGCTTAAGACCAGGTTTCGATTCTCCGCATGGGCACAAATGTGTGAAGCCTATTTCTTGTGTTCCCCGTCGTGATGTTGCTGGAATATTGCTGAAAGCGGCGTAAAACTAAACTCACTCACTCAATCAATCACTAAAAGACACGTTTCTATCTTTCTCGGAGAGTAAGCAGACATTTTATGCGGTAGAGGTGAAATTCGGAACGTAGCTTTGTGCGATAGATCCACATTTTACCCCTTTCAGTTCAGTTTAGTTTTACGTTTTAGCTCCAGCAATATCACGGCGGGGTCAATGGGTACCCCACATTGTACCCATGTGGGGAATCGAACCCGGGTTTCAGTTGACGAGCGAATCCTAGGCTACCCACCGCCCTCTTATGTGAGTAATTAGGCACTGTTATAATGTATGAAACAACCAAGGCGTATAACGGGATATTTACCGCTAACGCTGATATCGTTACCGTTCTAACGTGTTTTGAAATCATGTCCTCTTTTTCCAGGTGGAATTGCCGGAGGTCAGACCGTGACGGTGACTGGGACGGGGTTCCTGGTGGGCGGCACCAACGTCACCGTGTGCGGGGTGGACTGTCTTCCAGCACCCAACGCCTCTCAGACGTCCGTCCAGTTTGTGTGTCTGACGCCGTCCAGACGTAAGTCGGAGTGGTCAATATGATATTTGTGATGCATAAACGTGGACGCGTTTTTGAAAATATGACATGGGGTAACCATTCGATGTTCCAGGAACAAAGATGTTTGAAACGTGTTACCAAAGCACAATTTACTCCAGTTGAGGTTTTCGTATTGACAAATTAATTCCGTGTTAAATCCAAGATCTATATCAGCTTACCTAGTTTTGAGGGACACCGGCAATTTGGGTATTTTTAGTATCGAGTCATACTGACATACTCTGATATGACTGAAGTGCTGCACAAAGCCGTGTTGAACGGACCCGTGAAGGTCCGGGCTAGAATTGATCTTCAGCAACCCATGCTTGTCGCAAGAGGCGACTAACGGGATCGGGTGGATCAAGCTCGTTGTCATGGTGTCCTCGTAAGCAGAGTGCCAATAACCCTAAACTAGATCGATGCTCATGATGTCAATCACTGGGTTGTCTGGTTCAGTCTCGCTTATTTACAGACCACCATCATATAGTCGATACATTGCTACGTGCGACGTTCACAAACAAACAAACAAACAAATCATATGGAGTCCGTTTTAGCTTGCTTTAAAGCTGTCAGACGCGCTGAAGACAACATTCACGAATTGTTAGTAATAATATTTCTTCATTAACGTGTCAACCCATCAAGATTGTAAGAGGCGACTCACGGGATCGAGTGGTCAGGCTCGATAACTTGGTTGACACATGTCATCGTATCCCAATTGCCTAGATCGATAGTAACGGTTTTGATCATTGGATTGTCTGGTCCAGACTCGATTTTTTTTTACAGACCGCCGCCCTATTGATGGAATATTACTGAGTGCGGCGTTAAACAACCAGTCATTTACGTGTCCCAATTGCCCACCCGGACATGCTTACATGATTCAGTAATGTCTAAATGGCACACGTATATATTGGTCTTCGAAACTAGAAATACCTAAAATGTGTGTAGTTTGATAATAAATGTCTCTACTTCAGTGAGTGTGACGGTCACAGAGAGCTGTGACGTCGTCGTCACCGTCAACGGCATCATCGACACGTTGACCTCCGCCTACACGTACGACGCCAGCTTGACGTCCGAGGTGACCGGCGTGTCCCCGCTGCGAGGTGGTACTGGCGGCGGCACAAACATCACCATCACTGGGACGGGGTTCGGGTGAGTACCCCCACGGGACCCACCACTGACATTCAGGAAGTTAATAAACGTAAACAGTGAAAATGGGTATTTTAGAACAACAATTGCTGAACAATATGATTTTTTGCAGAAAATAGATAGAAAAACTATAAATAAGAAAAAATAATGGAGACATATACCACTTGATAAATCGCATGATTGTTTTCGGAAATAATTCACAGTAGAGTTAACATCTTTGAAGGGGTGGTGGGGTAGCCTTGTGGTTAAAGCGTTAGCTCGTCACGCCGAAAACCCGGGTTCGATTCCTCACATGGGTACAATGTGTGACGACCATTTCTGCTGTCCCCCGCTCTAATATTGCTGGAATATTGCTAAAAGCGGCGTAAAACCATACTCACTCACTAATATATTTTAAGTAAAGTTACTGTACGCTGTGTTCAAGATGTGTCTATAGGAACTGAGTACAAAATTGTTAAGAAATCGATTATCAATATTCACAGGGATGTTTCGTTTACTGTTGACACAATTGTCATACTGTGTATGTTATGGGGTTGGGTTTTTTTTGCACTATATTGTATTTTTCATCCCAGAAAGGTTTCTCACGAAGCCAGATCTGAGGGTGTGAAGATTTGAGTTCTCTTTCACGGATAATATTTGAGTTATGCCTCTTTAACTATCCAATACCGACAATAGTTCTGATTCACCTTAAAGATAATATGAATATGGGTATGTTTAAAGAATAATGTAATGTGTGATGTATTCCTCGAATTGCGCGCAATCCAATGTAATAAGCTACGTGAAGAAACCCGAATGAGCGACAAAGGTGATTGTCTTGTTTGTTGGTTAACGTCCCCAATTTTTCAAACCGCGTTTGAATAAGCGAATTGGGACCATATAATTCAGTGATTAATAGCATGAACTTCTATAAACACAAGAAGGATACGAGTGGGAAAAAACTTGTGAAGGCATATTGAGCTTCTGAGACATAAATAGTGAAGTATGAACGAGCTTGCTGACTGGTTCCATTGGCCGTTACAGAAGCAGCACAGGTGCAGTTAAAGTGACGATAGGTGGCGCTGACTGCTCCGTCTCCACGGTAACCACGACGGAAATCACCTGCATCTCAGGTGCAACATCGTCCCAGAAGACTAAAGTCATTGTGGAAATCAACGGAAACGGAATGGCGAAACAGGTACAGTTTCTGATTGCGTTTCCTTAGTGTGCAGTTGCGCTTTTGTTCCTGAAAACACTTAAAACCTTCAATGTCTTCCAAATGAGTATACCGCTAAAGAAAATGGAGTTATCTCCCTTTACCATGCTTAAGTAGTTAAACATATTTTGTGCCATATTATCATATTTCACATTAGTTATAAGGAGCTAATATATCATTCGAATCAAAACAGGTGACAAGAAAGACGCGAAAGCCTGATTCGCACCTTTCGTGACTGCATGTTCTTGCGAAGGATACCGATAATGGTTTTTGCGAAGTGCTTGAGAATCTACTACATTCTTTACTCCGGATTTCATTCCATATTAGGCTGACATACTTTGATATAGCTGAAATGCTGCACAAAGTCGTGCTGAACGAACCCGTGCAGATCCGGGTTAGAATTGATCTTCAGCAACCCATGCTTGTCGCAAGACGCGACTAACGGGATCAGGCGGTCAGGATCCCTGACTTGGTTGACACGTGTCATGGTATCCCAATTGGATCGATGTTCATGCTGTTGATCACTGGATTGTCTGATGCAGACTCTGTTATTTACAGACCAACTAAACCGTGCTAAAGGAAACACATTCTTTGTCAATCAGAAGGAGACTTACATTCCTTCGCAAATTTTGTTATTCACGATGATGCCTCATCATTGAGTTCACTGTCTCAAAGGGGCGGTTGGGTAGCCTAGAGGTTAAAAGCGGCGTAAAACTATACTCATTGACTAATTGTTTCAGACTAACGCCGATTTTGAGTACATCGATGTGTGGTCCTCCAAATACACGTGGGGTGGATTTGACCCTCCAGCCAAAGGTGACCTTGTCGTGGTCCCGAAAGGTCAAATCCTTCTTCTGGACACCGACACGCCCATTCTGAAGATGCTCCTCATTCAAGGTAAGACTTGGTGTTCTGTAAGTCCAGCGATTGACATCACAAGCATCGCTCTACGTCATTGGTATATGATAACATGCATCAACCGAGTCAGCCCCGATGATGTCAATAAATGAACCTTCATATCATCGTAGCCCAGTTGCGTAGATCAATGCTCATAATGTTGATCACTGGATTGTCTGGTTCAGACTCGATTATTTACAGACCGCCGTCGGATTATTGCTGAGGGCGGCGTTCAGCAGCAAACAAACTGTAAAACGGCGTAAAACACTGTAAAACGGTGTAGGCAGTCACAGCCACACACTCAAGCAAACAAGGCACTGCATAAACGAACGAAACGTTAAATCTCAACTGATCTTTCTTGGAAATATGTGATTTTTTTTCTTGTTTTTCTATTTCATATTTGACCCTTTCGGTAGTTTCAAGTACAGTGTTTGGGATTGAAGTTGGTTTTGACAATGTTACGGGTGATGTGTTCGCAGCAATGTACTCCAGAGGATCTCTAATAGGCTGTGCATAGCGTTACTTTTGTGTTTTGCTGTTGTCTCAGCAGAAGCATTTAGAAATTCAAATGTTTACGTGTTATTCTTGAGACCCGTTAATGAGATGGACATCAATTCAGGTTCGGTCCCCGGCCGCGTCATACCAAAAGACGTTAAAATAATCCCTTCCTGGCGATCGGCATTAATGGGTACAACAAGGACTGGTCGGCTCGGAGTCAGTATAATGTGTCTGAGTGGGGTATTCATGCTTCACTGCGGCATGGTATCTCAGTGGGCTAGCACTATAAAACCAGCTTCAGTCTGGGCTAGTACAAGCAGCCGCACATACACATACACCCGCATGCACGTCGTCATATGAGCGAAATATTCTCAAGCATGACGTAAAACCCAATTTCACATCACCTCACCTCACCACATGACTTCAATACCATGAATTACAGGAGGCGAACTGATATTTGACGAGAAAGACTTAAACCTACATGCTGAGAATATCCTCATCACAGACGGAGGAAAGCTGCAGGTGAGAATATGTACACACAACTGTTACCATAGTAATAACGTCGTCACTAGGGGCTGGTGGGCTAGCCTAGTTGGTAAAGCGTTCGCTCGTCACGCTGAAGAACCGGGTTCGATTCTCCACATGGGTGCAATATGTGAAGCCCATTTCTGGTGTCCCCCGTGTTATTGCTGGGATATTGCTAAAGGCGGCGCTAATCTAACCTAACTCACTCCTTACAGTGTCCACTTGAAAATATTTTTAAAGAATACAATGTCAAGGCATTGAGATTCGAGTTCGCTATGTAGTATGTATGCTCACCAAAAAAAGTTAAGGACCACCCCAATTTTCAGTATTATTTTGTTCATATTATGATCCATATATGCTTAAATATTTTTTTGATTATATATTGTTGACATCAACAGTGAGGACATTCGCAAAACAATTGCAGTGACACATAACAATTGAAACTTGAAATGTTTAAAGGTCGGCACAGAGGCGGAACCCTTCCAGCACAAAGCAGTTATCACCATGCATGGTAACTTCCGGTCACCGGAACTGCCCATATTTGGCGCCAAGACACTGGCGGTCAGGGAAGGAATTCTTGACCTTCACGGTATTTACTGTTTTCATTTATAATTTCACTGACCGACTGTACTTTGATTTTGGTTTCTCACTCGATGTAACGAATTATTCAAAGTTATTCAAAATTATTGAATATCAGCTTAAGCTGCTCTGTAAGACCTGTTTTGTTTTTGTTTTCTATCCAACTTTTAACAATATGATGATACATACAAATCACTTGTAAATTTAATACATCTGAACGTTATACGGGACAAATCAAGTGGAGGTGGGGCAGCCGGTGGTTAAATCGTTCGCTTGTAAAGTCAACCGGACTGGTTCGATTCACCAATTATTGTTAAACGTGTGAAGACCATTTCTAGTGTCCCTGTCATTTTGCAACTATTAAGATGTTCTCGATCACTCTGTAATTAAAAATAGTACTAACTACAGATTGGATAATGCGATATCTTTTTTTCGAAAATATGTGATAACAAGAGCACATAACTGTTTTTGCTTATAATATACTTCCATTGTGTTTGTTTTATAACAATATTCTTTATGTTTCGTTTCGTCTTGCGTTCGTTGCACGTGACGACCTCAGATTGTACGGGTAACCGTTAAAAGAAAAATGTTTTTGTTGGCAATTTTTATATCGAATGGAGACACGGATATACAAAATGTCAAGGACATTGCAATTTGCTATGCAGAGTTGCGACTTTTGTGCAAGAATGCTTTGATCGTAGGTTCGATTCCGAGATCAACAGTGAATATGTATCCTGATTTGACAAAACCAAACCCTTAACCCTTGGTTACGCCTGATTATCAGAGTCTTGTGCCACTCTTGGTTTCCAATAAATATCAAACTAACACCGGATTTAACCGGGTTCGATTCCAAAGGAGTGCACTGCGTGAGTCACATTTCTGTTGTCCCCCGCTTTGATAGTTGCGAAACATTGTTAGATAATGCTATCTAGAAAGTGGTCAAGTGTAGCATGTTATGTTTGGGATAACACTTTCTTAGTAAAGTACAGATTCTAGTCCTTTTGTTGGGTTGAGTCCTTTGCGGGATTCGAACCCACACCCTCAGAGTCAGGCACCTAATCGCCTGCAGATGCAGGTGTGTTAGAAGGCTGACTTTGTGTGCTGGCGATTAAAGTGCCTGACTCTGAGGGTGTGGGTTCGAATCCCGCATGGGACTCAACCAAACAAAATGTTATCCCAAATATAACATATGTTGCGGAATATTGCTAAAAGCGACGTAAAACTATACTCACTCACACACAAATCGGCGTTAAACCCAACCCATGGACTCCTTGCTGAGGTGATTCTTGGTGACGCAGTATATTTAGCGAAACAGTTTGATTGTCTTAATGTCTGATAACGCTTCTGATTCCAGGCAAAATCACTCCCGTAACCTGGACACGTCTCGCGTCAACAGCAACAGCTGGAGCCACCACCATCGTCCTGCAGCATCCTGTAAACTGGGAGGTCGGCGACGAGATCGTCATAGCAACAACTGGAGGTCACCACAGTCAAAAGGAGAGTGAAATACGATCCATCGCCGCCATTGCTTCTGACAACGTGACCTTGACCTTAGATTCAGCCTTGAACTACACACATATTGGAATCAGCAGAACGTTCAGTGGTTTTGATGTCGACTTCCGGGCGGAGGTTGGTTTGTTAACACACAACGTGGTCGTCAAGGGGTCACGTGATGTTCAGTGGGACGAGAAGATAGAGGCGTGTCCCGCAGGATTCAACACAGGTAATTGTCTTCATCAGTCTACATTTCGCCAATGACAACTATCAGTGATGGGTCCCTTGTTGTACGGTGTGGTAGCCTGGTGGTTAAAGCGTTAGCTCGTCACGCTGAAGACCGGGTTCGATTCCCCACATGGGTACAATGGGTAAAGCCCATTTCTGGTGTCCCCCGCCGTGATATTGCTGAAATATTGCTAAAAGCGGCGTAAAACTCAACTCACTCACTCACTGTTTGCCCCAGTGGTACTGCTGGAATTTCGCCAAAAGCCTCCCAGTCGTAAAACCATACACTATTTTGGTCAGTTAAATGTAATGTTTCTGTATATTTTTACTATTTGTACGGTGTTTTTATTTCAGGTGAGTTCGCTACTCAAACATGTTTCCTTGGACGATTCGGTGCCGAGATGGGAAGCGATGAATTTGGGTCCAGCATCATGATCCACGCTCCACGTGCAGACGAGAACCTCGCTATAGCGCGAATCAGCCACATCGAGGTGACCCATGCTGGCCAGGCGTTTAGACTCGGTCGATACCCGATCCACTTCCATCTCAACGGTGACATGTCGTCGTCGTATGTCCGTGGCTGCTCCATCCACCACACCTTCAACAGAGCCGTCAACGTGCACGGCACCCACAACACATTCGTGGAACACAACGTCTTATATGACGTCAGAGGGGGCGCCTTCTTCCTGGAAGATGGCATCGAGACTGGAAACTACTTCCGGTACAACTTAGGCGTGTTTGTTCGAGCGAGTACGAGTCTTCTCAACGACGACATCACCCCTGCAACGTTCTGGCTCACCAACCCCAACAACACCGTGGCCCACAATGCAGCAGCCGGCGGAAGCCATTTTGGATTCTGGTACCGAATGCACAAGCACCCAGAAGGCCCGTCCTTTACAACCAGCGTCTGTTGCCAGCATGTCCCCCTGGGAGAGTTCAGAAACAACACAGCTCATTCATTTGGTTGGTTCGGTCTTTGGATCTTTGAATTTTATTTCCCCAAAGTAGATGGCAGCTGTTCATCATCGGCAGCGGACTTGGCAGCAAAGTTTGAGACCTTCACTGCCTGGAACTGCGAAAAGGGCGCTGAAGCGGTTCAGGGCGGTTCACTCCAGTTCATAGACTTCATCCTCGTCAACAACAAGCTTGCTGGCTACGAAGGCAAGCTGCTAGGTCGTGTTCCTCAATTCGACGAGGACAACGGACCGATGGTCAAAGGCGGACTTATTGTTGGTCACCATCCTGATCTAGCAACTGAACACGGCTGTACAAGAGGTGGAATTGTCCTCCCTTACAATAATGGATTCCTAATAAAAAATGTTACTTTTGTAAACTTTGACCAAAGCGTCTGTTCCGCGTTTTCCTGGACACGAATCACCGGAACCTGCTCGGATCAATGCGGGGGCTTCCTGTATAAATCTTCCCAACTCCAGTTCGCAAGCTCGCCAAACAAAGCGTCGTATGGATGGGAACATGAGGGCGTCATTGAAGACCAAGATGGAACATTGACAGGCACAGTAGGGGGGTCTATAGTTGCCACAACTGGCATCCTCCCGCCGTCCAAGTGTACTCAAACAGTAGCCTTCAGTGTGGGCATTCCTGGCAGTGTCTGTGACGAAACTGTACGGTTCCACAGATTCGCCTTCAACGACATTGATCCTGCCTCACTGAAGGGCAAGAACATCTCCTTGACTAACACCCACGGTTCAAGTATAGGGAGTTCAGAATTAAACGGATCTCACACAAACCTGGCTGGTCGGTGGTGCTGCCTGAAGGCGAGGATTATACTCTGACGTTTGTTAATGCTGAACATTTGACTAACATCAGCTTCAACGGGCAGTTCTACTCTTTCTCGGTAAGTATATCACAGGCTTTTGGGGGGATGAGGATAGGATTGGGTTGCTTGGTGTTTAACACCGTGTTCAGCAATATTCCAGCTACATGGTGCCTGTCTGTAAATAATCGAGTTTGGACCAGACAATCCCGTGATCAGCAAACAAGCATGTACGGCAACAATATATATCTTTGTCTCCTGGGGTTTATGAAAAACGTGCTTGAAACATACATCGTTGATAAACGTGGTCCCCTTCCTTTCCCCATCATTACCTGGGTAAGATCCGAGAAAATAGGCTAACTAACCGGATCGAGTGGTCAGGCTCGCTGTCGTGGCTGACGCTTGTTTTCGTATACCAGTTGCGTAGATCGATGCTCATGATGTCAATCACTGGATTTAGTGGTCTAGACACCAGCATGCACGGACTACTCAACCGTCGATAGCGCCTTCACCTGGAATAGTGTTGCGTTTAAACAACAAAAAATAGATAATATAAAAAGTCCATATTTTTGACGCACGACGGTAAACAGCTCTTCTGATGTTGAACATGTCTTAATGCAACCTCTCCTTCTCTTCAGTCCGGGCAGTACATCACCATGTCCCAACAGGCTGAAAAGCCCGACCGCTTCAAGGTCGACGGGGTCACCATCAACGAGACTGTTGGGGGATTCAACACAGCTTCTGACGTCACCGGAAGCTGGGCATATGATGAAGGAAACGGAAGGATCCAGTACCTCGGTGAGTGAAACTGGCCAACTGAATTACCTCTAAGCTTGTAGTCGACACTGAATACGTCATGGCATTGTGGTTTGATAACGTTATACTCCTTGTTTTCGACAGCTATCGTCATTGTGGCATTGTGTATGAGTTAATTCTTTAGTTCAAACAGGCAATAGTTTAGCCATATAATTGATGATTGGTTAATTACAACCGATCAATCATCGAAAATAATCGGTTAACGTCATTTATGAAATGTGTTAATGCACAAAAAAAATAAGGAATTTTTTGTAGTTTTTTCGGCTTTTTTTGGCAAAATTTCACATTTTTAAAGGATGACTAGTATGGAAGAACAAAATTTCTTAGAGTCTTTAAGATAAATTCAATCATGACTTGGAACGAGCTTGTAGTGCTTATGAAATGTAACAGACAAAACCAACCTAGTGAAAAATACTGTAAATGAAAACAAGTGTTCTAGAATTGTTTGTGTTCGATTATGAGAAAACATGATCGATTGCTTGGTCGTTTAGTCACTGCGACCAATCTTCGATTATTTCAATTAATCGGACCACCACTAGTATATACAGGAATACATTTAGGCTATAAAATCTGTCGACAATGGGGAGTGAACAACTAGAGTATGACAGATTTTGACCCAAAAGGATACCATTACACAGAAGATACAATATGAAAACAGACTAAAGATCGCCAGCAGTGGAAGGTAGATCACCATACTAGGTCCAGGGGTGTTACAGACTAACGGGATCGGGTGGTCAGGCTCCCAATTGCGTAGATCGATGCTCATGCTGTATATAGTGGATTGTCTGGTCCAGACTCGATTATTTACAGACTGCCGCCATATAGCTGGAATATTGCTGAGTGCGGCGTAAAACTAAACTCACTCACTCACTCACTCCCAGAGATGTTACAGTGGCATATCGTAGCGTATAAAACAAAACCCCTCAGTTGAATATTATGTAGCCTTAATTATATCATTAGAAAGACATTGTGTACTATGTGATTTACTAGAGAGGTGGATCGCCGCGAATAGCTGCAGTGTTGCTGATGCGGTCTTAAGCAATATTCACTCACTAAAGAGATGAAGATGTTTGTAACAGATGTGAGATATAATACATGATCTGCCATACTCTGTAAAAAGCGTAATAATTTAAAGAAGTAGAACGAGTATCTGCTGGGCCTCGTAATTACCTACAGACACTTATTTAACACCAGATTCTTCACGTCTGTATGACGGCCATAATGGGTTCCGAGAGACTCATGAGGTCAAACTGGATCGAATGAAACAGTGATTGCAGATCATTCCAAGGAGGCATTGATTCTCAGACGTTTGATAACAGAATGCAGTGATGTAGTCACGGTATTGCAGTCTGCGGCAAAAAACAATATCCACCCAGGACGTAACAATTGTGTGGATTTTTTTTTCAGTTTCCGGCAACAGCGGGTCAAGGAAGAAGCGTGGCGCCATCTCATATTCCTCTGACAGGACCTTCGAAATGCAATCGTTCCGCTGTTACTATAGAAACTGCGAGCCTCCCCCAGCGCCAGAAACCGTGCTGTCGCGCCCCGGTCATATCACGCCGTGGTCCCTCAATTCTTCCTGGGAGTTCCGAACCGGCGGCAAACCCGTCGACAACGACAACGTCACAATACACAGAGGTGTGTTAGTTGGTTGCTTGTTTTGTCGAATAACGTCGCCCACAGCAATATGGACGAATTAACCACGCCAGCGATCTGTACACCCGCTAGTCGCCTCTTTGTCCAGCATACGCTGAAGAAACCAGTGAAAATCTGGGTTAGAATTGGTTTTAAGCAAGCCGTTCTTGTAAGAGGCAACTAGCAGGCTCGGGTGGTCAGGCTTGCTGCCATCGTAACCCAATTGCGTAGATCACTATTCACGATGTCGATTAAGTGATAGCTGTAAACCTCCAGGTGATTCGGATATGAGCACCATGTCGTCCGCAAACAGTAGTATAAAAAGGTTAATATAGTCAAGAAGCAATCCCCCGTCAATATTTTCCTGTAGTGCTACTTCAATATCTTCAAGATACCGAGGTAAAGAGTTTTGAAAAGCAGCTGTTTAGGGTGATTCCCCTGTACTTACTTTCATCTTAAAGTTCAAAACAAGCGAAGAAGATGAATTACTGGATTGTCTGATCCAGAATCAATACTTACAAATCGTAGTCATATAGCTAGAAAACTGCTTAGTGCAGCGTTAAACAGAGAAGACATAAAGATATAAGTATCAACCAACCGGGAAAAGGTGCTTTGTAAAGCTTGTAACCTCTTCACAAATTTTTTTCACTTGACATGCTTGATGGTCTCAGAATCTCCTGCCGTGTACGTCATCTAGATCTAGATTGAAAACACATGGTTCATGTAAGATAGTAAATTGTCTCTGAAGTAACCTTTGTGGAATCGGTACATTCCTTACTGGACACCCCATAATGAAACTAGCTGAATCAGCACAACAGCGTGAGACGTCATCTGTTTCGGAACAGTTTCTGTGGAGCCACGGCGCTGTTTGTCACCTGAAATATATGCGATTAGATTAGATTTTTCATGCGTAATAAAATCAGACACCTCACATTTAACATCGCAAAATCAGTAATGCAACTAAACTTATGTCCAAAAGAAAGTTGACACAGGTGTTTTAGGATTTTTGTTTTCTAAAAAAATGTAAAAATATTTTAAAAAGTGTTTTGGTTGTGATTACAAATCACAAACATTTGTGCGAAAAATCTGGTGTGTAATTTGTTTTGTGCTTCAGCTTAGCTCCTGGTTCTATAATGTCAATGTGGGTTTTTTTTCAATTAGATTACTGGATCCTGGCCGACGAAGAGTTTCCTCTGATTGACACGCTGATCATTCACGGAGGTCTGGAGTTTGAGAACAATGCCTCGCAGATATTCAATCTCCGGGCCAAGTATATCATCATTTATGGCCGGTTGGTTATAGGGTGGGCACATGATCCCTTCCCGGGGTTGCCAACATAATTCTGTCTGGGTCACACTCAAGCCCTGTCTTCCCTGTTAATGACGGCCCCACGCTCGGGTCAAAGGTCATAGGTGAGTGCCTCGTTATACCACGCCGTATTCATAAGGTTAGTGAGTGAGTGGTTTGACTCCGATGTGAACAGTATTTTAGGTATTTTGTGGCAGTGTAATGTGAAGTGAACGACCGACTTGAAACAGGGCTGAGATTTCTACCGCTTTGTTGACGCCAACGAACATGATACTGACGATCTTAGCGCGATCACGATTATAGTTTCCTGTCCCGCCCAAGGGACGTAACTGAGAACCGGGAAGCGATGAAGATAGCTATAGGGTGCAAGAGATATACCGGCTGATGCAACTGCTTGCAAGTGAACACGACTACTTGATAAGGAATTACCTGTTACTGCTACTACTACTACTACTGCTACTACTACTACTACTACTACTACTACTACTCCTGCTGCTGCTGCTGCTGTTACTTTCACCGTGGCTGTGCAGTAGTAGTATGAGCATACGTCAAGGCGCTGTCCGTACAGGTTATACACCATTTATATTGGTACCGTAGTAATATTTGTCTATTTCATTACAACACGTACATTTCATAAATACACAACTCGTGTTCTATAATTTGAAACATTGTTTTAATATTAATCGCTGTTTACAACGTGACGTCACATTACAAAGACGTCATAGTACTTCGTTCCGGTATAATGAACGATGTATCTCCATGTCGCTGTCCTTTCGAAAGGTTGAGTGAGTGAGTTTAGTTTTACGCCGCTCTCAGCAATATCCCAGCAATATCCCAGCAATATCGCGACGGGGACGATAGGTTTGAGGATGAGTAGTAATACAGGTAATCGCGATTATGCATCTACTCAGAAAAATATTTCGATATTATTATTGTTATATTATGCTTCCTTTTGGGGGCTATGGGGTAGCCTAGTGGCTATAGCTTTTGTTCGTCACTCCGGCTCGATTCCCCACAGGGGTCCAATGTGTAAAGCCCATTTCTTGTATTCGCCGCCGTGAATTTGCTTATTAAAGCGGCGTGAAACTAAACTCACTCACTCGTCTGTTTTAAATCTGTTGTGTTGTTTTTATCACCAGACGCATCCTTTATACATGTATATCCCTTTCACTATTCCAATAGCTGTGTATGGCGGGCTGGATATGCATGGCCTTGACCCCGGCGTCACGTGGACAAGTCTTGGAGTCACGGCCGCAGCGGGAAGTAACTCTATCACGCTTTCCGAACCGGTCTCGTGGGCGGTGGATTCTGAGATAGTCATCACACCGACTTCCTACAGTGCATGGGAGACAGAGACCTTCAAGATTACCGCCGTGTCAGCAAACAACCTCACCCTCACGCTGAACGGAAGCTTGGCTCACTCACATATAGGTACAAACTTCAAATGTTGCGTTCCCGTCATGACCCGGGTTAGAATTGATCTTCAGTAACCCATGCATGTCGTAAGAGGCGAGTAACGGTATCGGGTGGTCAGGCTCGCTGACTTGTTTGACACATGTCATCGTTTCCCAGTTGCGTAGATCGATGCTCATGCTGTTGATCACCGGATTGTCTGGCCCAGACTCGATCATTTACGGACCGCCGCCACATTACTGAAATATTTTTGAGTGTTAAACAACAAACAAAACAGATGTTTTAACTCCATAGAGGTTGTTACATCACGTTCATTTGTTTTGTCCAACGTATAAGTTGGAGTTCCCGTGCTAAATAAATATACATTTACATTCAATGGTGGGTCAAATGAAATGACTACAAGATGGCGCTAGATTTGTTACGAGTATCGTGTGTTTTTGATCTAAGATGGACACTGCCTTCAACAGCGTAACGGTTTTATAGAGTTTGAGGTGCATATTACCGTTAACTTCCGCTGTTACTTAGTTCTCAAGAACCTATTAAGGACGACCATTCTGTTGCAATACGTGTTAGCTGGTAATCACACCGGATCCTGGCTCCCTGGACAGCTGTTCATGCGATCAAACACTACTCGCTCCTATGGGGAAACCGGCGAGGAACAGGTCCCCGGAAACTCAGTCTGTCAGAGTCAGTCTCGAGTGGCTGCTGAAACAAGTTCCAATTGGCGTAAAAGAAAACCAAAAGTGATAAAAAAACGGATCACTGTAAATCCGTGATGACACCAGGTGCTCGCTATAAGATAAGCACGACCTGCTCTATCGGTAGCTTCCATTCATACAACTTGCACGAACGTAAGTGTAAGTAGCTCACACTACACCTACCAATCGAGTTTGGACCAGACAATCCAGTGATCACTATCAACCAACGGTTGTCGTAAAAGACGAATATATAGGAGTGATCAGGTTCCGTGAGTTTGCTTGCTGGTTCTCGCACAAACGTGGACCGATGCTGATAATTTCAGTAGGATTTGTGTCTTGTGCATTCGTTGACCTCTTGAAACTGTTACGACACTGCTAATTTCCAACACGTGTTTCACTTCCAGCCGTCAGTGAGACAGTTTCCAACGGTCACAGTTACAATCTTGCTGCCAAGGTCGGCCTGCTGACCCGCAATATCAGGATCATAGGCGAGGATTACTCGCAGCTGTTCAGTCAGTCGTTCGGTACCCGGTTATTGGTCGCTCGGACGGCAGATTCCACGATGTCATACAGCGGTAAGTACTGATTACCATGACAACAGGTCTTCTAGATCGTAAGCAACAGTTCAGTTTGCACTGACTGCGCAACTCGAACTGTCGTCCTTCGTCGCGCGTTTACGACATTTGCATTCTCTGGCCATTAGAACTGAAGGAATCACGATTCAAAGACTTCAATGTCAAACTGTAAAAGAAGTGTTTAAAAAAAATACTTAATTCTTTCCCATTTTACGACAAGCATTGTTTATGTCAAATATGAATGTTTCTGTGATGATACTTCGTGTTTTGTTAACTGCATGGTGCCATTGTGTAATTCTTAAACACGCGCAGTCAGCCCAGAGTGTATGTATTAAGTATCAACTGAATATCGAGCTAAACGGCCGCCTCCGTGGTGTAGTGGTTAGAGCGTCAGTATAATCTGTCTGAGTGGGGTATTCATGCTTCACTGCGGCATGGTATCTCAGTGGGCTAGCACTATAAAACCCAGCTTAAGTCTGGGCTAGTACAAGCAGCCGCACATACACATACACACGCATGCACGTCGTCATATGAGCGAAATATTCTCAAGCACGACGTAAAACCCAATTTCACCTCACCACCACCTAAAATGTTGCTTAGTTATTTAGTTATTGCAGGTTTAGCTAGAGGTGAGGTGAGGTAAAATGAGGTTTAACGACGCATTTACAAATATTTCACTCATATGACGACGTGCGTGTGTATGTGTATGTGTGGCTGCTTGTACTAGCCCAGACTGAAGCTGGTTTTATAGTGCTAGCCCACTGAGATACCATGCCGCAATGAAGCATGAATACCCCACTCAGACACATTATACTGACTCCGAGCCGACCAGTCCTTGTTGTACCCATTAATGCCGAACGCCAGGCAGGGACCAACAAGTACCATATTTTAACGTCCTTTGGTATGTCGTGGCCGGGGATCGAGCCCGCGACCTGCCGCTCTCCGGGCGGACACTCTAACCACTACACCACGGAGGCGGTCCTAACATTTTAGTGCAACGACTCGCGTTCATATTACGCAAATAGAAATATAATCAAATGTAAACACTGTTTACCCTACAAAATATGCGTTGATATTAATCATTACAACTGGTGATTCAGGTAAGAAGCCGTCCCAAGCAAACTGATCTGGTCGTAAAAAGCGAATTACCGATTCGGGTAGATTGTGAAGAGGTTTAAAGTGATTAAGCATGATTTTCGTCGTTTTTAGCAACATTCCAGCAATATCACGGCGGGAGAAAACAGAAATGGGCTTCACACATTGCACCCATGTGGGGAATCGAACCCGGGCCTTTGGCGCGAGGAGTGAACGCTTTAAGCACGAGGCTACGACATGGTCCCATATCAATGATAGGGATATTTTAAGCAATATCGTACTGAAGCCTCTAGTGAGTGAGTGAGTGGTGTAGTGTTGTGGTGAAAGCGTTTGTTAGTCACGCCCAAGTCCCGGGTTCGATTCTCTTAATTTTTAATTTCTCCCGAATAAGCCTCACTCACTCACTCACTCACTCATTCTGGCTGGTCAGGCTCGCTGCTTTGGTTGATTGTCTGTTCCAGACTTGATTATTTCAAAACCGCCGTCATATATCTGGAATATTGCTGAAATTGCTGTTATTGCGTTAAGCGACACACAAACAAACAATCTAAAAGTATCCTAAACGTATAATCATGATCCTCATCATGATCCATGATCCCTACTTCTTCCCTTGCCCAGGATTTGCAAAGATTCAGAACGTGGAGTTTTTCCACACGGGTCAAGAGGGTACACGACGTCATACGACCCTCGCTTCTCCGTCGCATTCGTGGACGTCAGTAACGCCGGTGACCGCTCCTCCTACGTCCGTCGCAACGCCTTCCACAACGGCTTCTCCCGAGCTATCGGCGCATTTGGCATCAGCAACCTTGTGATAGAGGACAACATCGTGCATCACACCGTGGGACCAGGTATGTATATGTATATTGTAACAATAGTTGCCAAGCTTTCAAAATAGTGCGTAGCCAAAGTTGTCTCCCTTTGTAATGTCAGGTTCCGCTGGACATTCCGAATCGAGCTTATTATTAGCTAATACCAAGACCCTCTCTCTGACCCACAGAACAATGTGATGTTGTCGGGAAAGGTGTGGGCTAGGAATGTAATGGCTGTCGGGAAAGGTGCAAAGATGGGCGAAAGAAGGGCAGGGTTGTAGGTGTGTGGCTGGATTGGGGAGGTTGAAAGAAGGGCAGGGTTGTAGGTGTGTGATGAGAGAATAGGGAGGGGAGGTTGAAAGAAGGGCAGGGTTGTAGGTGTGTGATGAGATTAATTTGATACCTTTCCCTTAATGTATGTTAGCTCTTCATCCATGGTGGATTATACCTAGAGGTGTTAAAGAGCACATCCCACCACCTGCGGTCAGACACTTGTGTTCAGACACCTCACTTGTCAATACCTAGAGGTGTTGAGTGTTGAGGGTGCACATCACAACACCTGTGTTCAGACTTGTCTACCTAGAGATATTCTCCTCACTTGCACACACACACACACACACACTCTCTCCCTCCCTCATTCTCCCTCCCTCTTCCTCTCTCTCTCGCTCCTCTTCTTCTCTCTCCTCTCCTGTCTCTCTCTCTCACTCTCTCTCTCTCTGCCACTCTTCTCACACTCACACACACACACCCCTCTCTCTCTCTCGTATCTTGATTATTTCATTTTTAGCCATGCTAAAATAACCATAATTTGTTCTACTCGCCATCCCGATGAAATATTGCCATTTTAACTTTTAATGTCCAATCATTAAACTCATCGTTGTGAAAAGTCATTTTAGGCATTAATGTTTGCTTTAAATATCTATTGATGTGTTCTTTCAGGCATTGTCACGAATTCTGAAAACAGTACACTGATCAGAAACCTTGTGGTTCTGTCCATTTGGCCCGGTGCCTACCAGGACAGGCAGGAACCTTTCAACATAGAATATGAAGGTGGCATCGAGGCTATCACCGCAACTAATCTCGTCCTGAGAAACAACGTAGTCTCCGGAAGTGAGAGAATGGGATTCCACACACCTGGCGAAGGATGCACCGGAAGTTCTCTATGGAGTGGAAACGAGGCTCACTCAAACCTCATGGGTGTTGGGATGTTCCCGGCAGATAAAGGCGTTAGTGAAACATGCGTCCGATATGCCAACTTCCTGGCGTGGAAGAACGTAGACTTTGGTTTTTATTACCAAAACGCAGGGAGCTTCATCGGCGAGGGGCTCGTGTCGGTGGAAAATGGAGTTGGTGTGTTCCCCTTTGTTATCGGACCGAGCGCCGTCGGTCATCAGACTTCTGATAAATACGTCACTGTTAAAGAGTCCTTTTTTGTTGGCAAGACGTCAGCATTCGACTGCACCAATGACGTCATGGACAGTACTGACGTCAACATCCAACTGAGCGGTAGCGGCAGAAGCTGGGGCAATGGCACACATGGCAAGGTCGGCGTCTCGTGGCCAAATTTCAGTGAGGGTCCGAACAACGCCCCTGAGAAGCCGTTTGCTGGGATTATGGCTTATCAGGCGATCAGTGGAATCATGCATCTCAACAGTAAGTGGACTTTTTTCTCACCACTATAACTAACCTACCGGTCAACTAAACCAAAGACTGACCAATCGCTATCGATCAGTTAAGTCAATGATTGACCAATCAGGGCCTTTATTTTCGAAATGTTCGTAGCCCTAAGAATTCTTAACTTTGATCGCAGCCAATGTGTTAAGAATGGTCTTATTAAGTTCGTAGGGCTACGAACGTTTCGAGAATAACTAGCCAGGAGGCCAGAAGTTATAGTCGATGCAGATGTCGAAGAGGAACGATGTTTATGGATAGACAGATCTGTATCACTTGCTTGACGGCTGTGTTTGCATCTACACCGAAACGCCGCATCTATTGCAGTAAAGAAGTTGTCTATCCATAAAAATTGGTTCCTCTTCTTCATCATACCAGATTCTATATGGCACTTAAAGAAGTGATACAGAAGAATCAGAATGTAAAATATGAATACTTTAAGCTGAACTGTCAGGAAAATATATTTTTTAGTTACGGTTTGTATTTGCACATGGTTTGCATTTATCTGGTTAGTACAGTTACTTACCAATTGAAGATTGTTAGAATTATTGAGAAATTTAAAACAAAATGCCGGAATGTTTGAATTCTTAAATTGCAGTGAGATAATGAGTTTAAAGCGTGTAGATATAAAAAGAAGCGTATATGTTGGTTCATCTATACTATTCCTCTCGGGTTGTCTTCATGTGTCAGAAACATGTGATAGTTGGGTGGGATCCTGGCTAGCTATTCCCGAAACGTTCGTAGCCCTCCGAACTTCTTAAGCCCATTCTTAACACATTGGCTACGATCAAAATTACGAATTCTTAGGGCCCAGGTGTATCAGCAGTGTTCATGGCTTTCAACAGAGTGGTAAAGTCATAAGAAATATATCTATCACTTTTGACTTTATTACAAGCTGACACGGGCGGTGGGGTCGCCTGATGGTTAAAGCATTCGCTCGTCACGCCTGAGATCCCGGGTTCGTTTCCCTACATGGGTACAATGTGTGAAGCCCATTTCTGGTGTCCCCCGCCGTGATATTGCTGGAATATTGCTAAAAGCGGCGCAAAACCAAACTCACTCACTCTTTGTCCCGTATTCGTGAATGTTTAAAAGGGGCGTCACGAGTATTATGTCAAAATGAACAGGCATTGTATGAACTACCAAAAAATTGAATTCGAATAGATTCAGAACGAATCGGTCATCTGCCCCTAACGTACCTGTCCATACGTTCACGTAATGTTGAAACGTGTCCTCAATACGTATCACCATCAGACCTCGAAGGTTCGTGACGCCTATTGTGCTCTGTTCAGATGAAATGATTCCGTTACGTGAGATTAATCTGTTTTTCGCGTTCTGTGTGTTCTTAACGTATTGTCTGTACATAACAGATGTGACGTTCGCCAATTTCGGCACGTCATGCACGTCCAGCAACGACTACGCTATCACCACCAACCCCAAAAACGATGACTGCATTCACCCCATCGAGTCCCAGTCTCTAAGCTTCCTCAACGTACAGTCTGGCAGGGAGCTCTTTATCCACATACCTAAAGTCGGGTGAGTTAGTTACCTTATGCTCTTCTGCACTAGCTACATACCCTGCACATGCACTGTAGCCGTGAAGATCCGGGTTAGAATTGATCTTCAGTAACCCATGCTTGTCGTAAGAGGCGACTAACGGGATCGGGTGGTCAGGCTCGCTGACTTGGTTGACACGTCATCAAATCCTAAATGTGTAGATCGATGCTCATGCTGTTGATCACTGGATTGTCTGGTCCAGACTCGATTATTAACAGACCGCCGCCATAAAGTTGGAATATTGCTGAGTGCGGCGTAAAACTAAACTCACTCACTCACCCAAAGAGTACTGTTTTTCTACGTACTTCTCATTGATACTTACATATGTTCCTTTACAGTAAAATCAACTCTGCTGACTGCGTTGATATGGACTGTGATGGCCTTAAGAAGGCCTTCATTAAGGATATGGACGGATCCCTCCTCGGGACGCCGGGGGCAGCAATACCGCTGTCGGAGTTCGAGTGGAATGGCGACTCTAGGAGAGGGCTGGGAGACTACCGGGTGCCCAAAGTCATGCAGACGGCCTTGGATGGAACCAGGATACCTCTGGACTCTTTGGCTCCGAATAAAGGTAACATCATACACTGCCTGTATATCGTTCTAGAAGGAAATTGTTCCGAATGCCTGAAGGGACGGTGGGGTAGCCTAGTGGTTAAAGCGTTCGCTCGTTACGCCGAAGACCCATGTTCGATTCCCCACGTGGGTACAATGCGTGAAGCCCATTTCTGGTGTGTGTCGTTTTGACAAATGTGAAAGGCGAATGAAGCGATGATCGTTCAGAATTATATAATCATTCATGGCGCTCACGCTGTCAACCACTGGTTTACCGCAATGGGGCAATAGAATAGTCTAGAGGTTACAGCGTTCGCCTCCCCCGCTGGTACAACATGTGAAGGCCATTTCTCTTGTCCCCCACCGTGAAATGCTGCATTATTGCTCGTCTGTCACACAGACCCTGAAACAAACATATCAGAGAAAGCCCATGCAAGTCTAGAATATGAAGATTTCCAGTTTCAGGTCTGAATGTGAAGAAAGTCAAAGGGCTCTTCTTCATTATATATATTTTTTTTATTATGAACTTTTTTTCGATAAAATATGTTCATTTCAGAGACTAGTTGTCTAAATGTCAAAACCATTCTCAATCAACCCACAAAGCCAGATACGTCCTGCCTTCTGTATCTAATTCCCAACATCCCTACACTGTCCATTGTTCCAGGCGTGTACAGGAACACCAACTGCGTCTACCACGACGACTGGCGAGCCTACGAGTGTCACGACCTGGACTATGAGATGCTGGTCATTGAAAGCATGGACCCAGACACTGAAACCCGAAGACTGTCTCCGGTCGCCATTTTGGGCGAGGGTTACCTTGACCTCATGAACGGCCCCCAGGACCACGGCTGGTGCAGCGGCTACACGTGCAGGAAGAGACTGTCCACCTTCCAGGCCATTGTCGCAACCAGTAAGAAGTAGTTTTATCTATCAGAATAGGGCCTGTAAGTCTCGCGAGACGTCACTTCGGGAATTAAGCTGGTTCCCGGTTGCGCGCGCCGACTTGCGATATGTGAGACGGGGCCCAGCTTACTTCCGGTACCAAATTTCCTGTGACAATCGTGTATTCAAGAACCAGTTCTGGTTCCAAATTGCGCGACCGCCAAATATGACTTTGCTTGACAAGTGTGCGTTGTTTGTCACAGGAAGTACTGAAAAAAGGTCTCGCGAGGTGCCGTGACCTACTTACGGGCCCTATACGCCATGCTGTCGAGCTTGTAAGGGTTTTTCACGAGCCTCTTCCTTAGTAACGGTTTCCAATTCGACAAAACTCGTGTTAATCCCGGACTTGCAGAATTTGTTACTGAAAAGACCGAGTGGTGACGAATGACTGTCTCTAAGTTTTATTAAAAGGAGACCCATGAGGGCAACATCCTCAAAGAGTTAATACAAATGATATCACTGATAAATGTCATTTTTTTCAAAATGAAAAATGTCACGGGTTTGTTCCAGTGTGACTCCGTGACACTTTTCGAGTCACATTTCTACGTTAATTTTCAATGTTTGTTTCTGTCATGGTTATTTAATCAGTAAATTGCGATCCGTTTAGAAAAACATGTACGTAGGTTAAAAGTGAAACATTGTGCATTTAGGTAGGTTGTTTAAGTCATTTCAGTTGTTTTAGTAACTAAGTTTAAAGCAATTGCATCTAGATCTTCAAATCATTTCGGCAATGGGGATTTCATTTGCATATTAAACGCAAATGGACAGCTTATTATGAGCTCTGTAATATCTCCGTTTCCCTGCTTTGTTACGAAAAATAGGAAAAACACCAATAATATCAGTATGTAGCCGATATTCATTTCAGCAATTATATATACTCTTAAAAAAGTTGGGGAACCTGAAATTTCAATTTGTATAGGAAGTATAAGCGTTCACAAACTTTTCAAAGACAGACATCTTATGAACGCACCACCATTTCTCTTTATCACCACCACTAAACACAAAGCATGGGATGCACGTGCACTACGCAGTAGCCCAATACACGTGCATGGGGTGTCATTCTTGATTTGGACGGTTTTCAAGGAGGTCGATAAATCATTGTAGACCATTTATTTGGACACTCCTCTTGCATCACACAGTTGTTAGTGCTTGTTTCTAGCCATTTTCTTTATTTGAAAAAGATAATCGTACACATGCAAATTTTACGTCATACTTCAATCGTCTTTCAATGAGCGATTACTGTACGAACAACTATGGTCATAAGGAAGTGCAAGTGGTGATGCACTCTCAAAACATTCATTATTATCATATCAACATTGATTGACTCCGATATATCTCCCAATTTTTTCAATCGTAAAATGAAGTTCCCATACTTTTTTAAGAGTATAAGTGCAATGGTCTTAATATATATTAGCGACACTAATATATGTCTTATCTATTCCCAGATAAGACCTTCGACATCTACTTTACAAGCACCACACCACAAACAAGTCGTTATCATCTCCTCAACGCGGACTCCACGCAGAGCGTTAGACTTGGTGTCTGGTACGGCAGACCAAACCGACTTGACGTCTACGTCAACAATGCCCATGTCATGCCGAAGAACGGCGAGACGAGAAACGGTCGCTTCTACTTGAGAACCGACATGACGCCAACCCAGTATATGCCGGATCCGGCAACTGACGTCATTGGCACCAACTACATCAGCAGAGAAGAGAAGATGTTGTTCTTTGTAGTCACGGGAGCCGCGTTTGTTGAGGTCAGAACTGCCTCAGTGATCATCGTTTCCTACACGCTTCCCGCCATGACAGTCGACGACTTCTTTGGAGAGAACCTTGTGAGCAACATCGCCGCCTTCCTCAACGTCGACCCCCGGAAGGTCCGGATTGTGAACGTGGTCAACGAACAGTCCGTCGGCAGGAAGAAGAGGTCCACAACAGGCCCGACAGTCAACGTGGAGATTGGTGACGAACCTGGTGATTCATCGCCACTAGCCTATTCCGACATCCAGCAACTCGAGACCTCAATATCCAATGGCGTGGCGCTGGGGACGATGAACGTGCTTCCAAACGGCACCGTGGCTGTATCCGTTGGTCTGATCACTGCCACCCCTCCCGTCGACAGCGCTGCATGGCAAGGCGTCACTGTTGACGACCAGCCGTATGTCCTCAACAAGGCTGGAAGAATGGCTGTACACGAGACACCAGTACCTGGCAGGGAGGAGAAGGTGTTTGAAACTCCCGTCAGCCTCAGAGTATATGATGATTCGGTACGTGTTGTATGGGCTAGTTCGCACGTTGTTTTACCTCCGCTTTGAAAAGTATTTCCTTAAACAACATACAGGGTCTCCTAATTGTGTGGGGAAAGCGAAAATAGTTCTTCGACTTAACTGTTGTTTGTTTGTTTTCTTATTTGCTGTGTAACGCAGCGTTGTCTATCGTTAAGAAACACCTGAGCCTTGTCATGGTCCTAACAATCCTGTAAACTCAGCACTCTGCCATGCTGTCACTTCTAAGGTCTTTGACTGTATGTTCTTAATTCTTGTAAAGTTGGTATAAACGGTAGAAAGTACAAAAACAATACAGGTACATTTTGACTAAATAGTGTGCCCCGAAACCATGAGCGGACAAACAAAACAACAATATGATGTTCTTTCAACAGAGATCAGTGTCACGTTAAGATGTTTCCGGAGCGTTAAGTAGCTTTGTGGTTAAAGCGTTCCCCGTCACGACGAAGGGCCGGGTTCGATTCCACACATGGGCGCAATGTATGAAGCCCATTTCTGGTGTCCGTCGCCGTAGTATTGCTGAAAGCGGCGTTAACCTAAACTCAGTCACAGAACTATCTCATTTAGACAGATTATGTAATATCTGTAAATTGCCATATATAGAAGATGAATATCACTTCTTACTTATTTGTAATAAATATCAAGCATTGCGGCGACTGTATATCCCCTTTACACATTTCTGAATATCCAACAATCCAAAAATTTGATACGCTTCTGCAATCATCAAATGCAAGCATCTTAAAACATTTATCGGCATATATATATCAAGCTATGTTACTGAGACAGTCCTCATTATAACATATTTTCTCACTCTGTAATTCTCAAAGTGTAACCTGGGCCTATGGCCTATATTACTTTTCTGAAATAAACCACCATAGATACGACACATTCACTCTAAGCCGACGAGGCGTGGGAACAACAAGTACCTTTGTGACTGACGCGGCCTTCCGCTCTCCTGGCTAACGATATATTCACGAAATATCGATGTTTCTGTTTTCGTAATGTTATCATTTTTTTCCAGGCCGAGCCGCTCAGTCTGGTAGGCTCAAACAGCGAGCCCTGGCAGGTGACGGCGAATCTGACTTTGGGAGCTGGCAGTGATCCCTCTGCCGTGTTACAAGGCACGACTACAGTGACCTTCAGTAACGGCTGGGCGAATTTCACAGATCTCGCCATTTCTCGTCCTGGGTCGGATTACTCAATCACCTTCACAGTTGCCTCCCCTGCTGAGGCCGGTAACTTTACGACAACCGTGTCTTCACTGACAGTCCCGGCGAGACGTATCACTGCAGAAATGGTGTCCACGACGACTGATCCGCTAGAGGGCGAACTCATCTCGCTCACGTTGGAGTTGCGAGACCAGGACACTGGTTCAGCCTTGTCCGATATTGCATGGAGGGTGAGCAACCATTTTAGTTTCTACAGACCGACCATTTGTGGAGCACAGTGGTGTAGTGGTTAGCATGCTGGCCTCTCACGCCAAAGGCCCGGGTTCGAATCCCGGTGGAACACCAAAATTTGTGACCTGGGTCTCATACTGTGTTGTGTCCCTGGGCAAGGCACTTCGTCCACATTGCACTCAGTCCACCCAGCTGTTTAAAATGGGTACCTGAAAAGCGGATGTACGGACCTATACGGTCGCGCTTAGCGCTTTATAGCAGCTTTGAAAGTACAATTCCGTCAGGGTAATAATGTAACGCCAGAGAACAGCATCGCGTTGGATTCTAGGCGCAAAAATTAGCATTATTATTATTATTATTATTTCATTTTGGGTCCAGGAACATACTGCGCTCGGTATAATACTGGACATTGTTATTGTTACTCAGGTTTTAAGAAAAATGTGAACATACTAATCGATCGGTTCCGCACGAGAAGTCGAAAGATTAATTCCTGAAGCAAAGTAGTTGTGTATTGATGTGATAATGTTTGAATTATGTTAATATTGACGTCAAAATACTTTTACTCACATATAAAGAAACTGAAACACAAAAAGGTCTGAAACATTTTATTATTTAAAATTCATTTTTATATGTAATTTTAGGGCCACACGTGGAATGTGACGGCCTCTTTGGCAAGCGGCTCCATCCTGAACGGCACGCTGGACGGCGTCTTCAACCCCTCGACCGGTAGAGTGGACTTCACTGACCTCTCTATCCCAGAAATCGGAATCTACTACCTGTCCTTCAACGTGTGGTCAACACCGTCAGAGTACAACTTCACCGTCGAAACGTACGTGGACGTAACAACGGCGTCACTTCGGAATCTTGTCATCGAGAAGTCCAGCGCTTGTCAGTTCAAGTTTGACGTCACTTATGACACTGTTCAGTCCCCGAAGGATGCGGCGGTGTTTGCAAACACGTGGGCTATCAGGAACAAGAACAACGCAATCAGGGTGACCGGCGTCAGCGCTTCCCCTGGTACGTCAGCACATATACTCAACCTCCATATAAACGCCTTGTTTGGAATATACGCAAAATCAAATATATAAACCGGATATGAATTTGTCGGAGGTTAATACAAGCAAAACAGTTTAAAAGTATTTTGGCGCTCGCTGGAACATAACTAAAAAAGTGTGTACAGGTGTTTAGTTTCTTTTTAAACACAGTGACTTTGTTTGAAACATTACGCTTCTTGGTGTAACCGTTGAAGGTCCGGTAAAATTGACTTCAATAACCCTTTCCTCGTAAGAGGCTACTAATGGGATCGGATGGACAGGCTCGCCGACTTATTGACACATGTCATCGTATCCCAATTGCGTAGATCGATGCTCATGCATCATCGCTTTGTACCAACCGGATTACTGGTAAAAACCCACTGACAATTCGGTCATCGATAGGTTAAGTCAAAACAGGTAATTAATTTATAGTATACGTCACTTTGCTAGGGCAGGCACGATGATCAACTTAATTAGATGGCTGACATTTTACCGCTATTGAGTTTCATTTCTCCACTACAGCTTTAGTGCGTAGTATTTCAGATCCATTTTGTTTTTGTCGACAGAAAATAATTTAGATGTTAGAAAAAGCAGTTTCGTTTTTCGCCAGTTCCGTAAAGCAGTTTTGGAATGATAACAAACCCTTCCAAGAACAGATCCGAATGTAACATGTGTTTATGAACACCTGTTTCAATACCACCCAGCCCTACCCTACTCACAAACCCACAAACCCACAAACCCGTGAAGGTCCGGGTTAGAATATTGATCTTCAGTAACCCATGCTTGTCGTAAGGGGCGACTAACGGGATCGGGTGGTCAGGCTGGCTGACTTGGTTTACACATGTCATCGGTTCCCAATTGTGTAGATCGATGCTGATCATGTTGATCACTGGATTGTCTGGTCCAGACTCGATTATTTACAGACCGCCGCCATATAGCTGGAATATTGCTGAGTGCGGCGTAAAACTAAACTCACTCACTCACAAACCCACAAGTGATCATGAGTGAGTGAGTGAGTTGGGTTTTACGCCGCTTTTAGCAATATTCCAGCAATATCACGGCGGGGAACACAAGAAATGGGCTTCACATACCCATTTTGGGAATCGAACCCGGACCTTTGGCGTGATGAGCAAACGCTTTAACCACTCGGCTACCCCACCGCCCCAAAAACAACCCCACAACAAAGCTATATAATCGTATATTATTTACCTTTTCATTCCAACCACCGATCTTTTGGTTTTGTAAGGTTTTAGACAGAGTATTATATAGGCCAGTCTGTCATTCAGACCCTGAAACAAATATACCCAAGAAAGTCCGCGCAAGTCTAGAATATGTGGCAAGTCCAGATTACCACAGTTTCAGTTTCTGAAAATGAAGAAAGTCTCTGGTCTCCTTTTCATTTTATTTCATGATTATAAGTTTGGAGTTTTTTTCTGCTCACTTCAGAGACTAGATCTTAGTCCATAAATAATCTTGCACAACATATTGAATACTTCTAGTATAGTTTAACACATCATGTTGACCTTGCAGGTAGCGTCATAGTGACCTTGACCTTTGGGGGTAAGACCGTCAACGTGACGGGCATGATCTCCGACCTGTGTGCGGAGGTCGAGTCGAGGTCCACCAAATACAGCTTCGGAGGTCAGAGTATCGCCATGTCGCCGTACATGATGGTTGACGGGCAGTCGTACTATGGAAACGGGTGTGGCGCTAAGGTGAATACATGACCGGAACCACCATATATTTATTATTGAAGGCTGCATGGTGTGGTGAAGGCGTTCGCTTGTCACGCCGAAGACCCGGTTTCGATTCCTTACATGGGTACAATGTGTGAAGCCCATTTCTGGTGTCCCCTGCTGTGATATTGCTGGAATATTGTTAAATTTAAATTTCCTCACTCACTTATATCTGAGCTGTAAAGTGAGTGAGTAAGCATGGTTATACACCACCTTTAGCAATCTTCCAGCAATATCATGGCGGGCGACACCAGAGGTTGTCTTAACACGTTAAAAAATCGTCATTATAAGTATATCCCTCGTCCACCACAAAATCAAGCTTATGTGGATCGGTTGGCAACTACGGCTGATGTTTGCTCATGCAAAACATGGTCCCAGCATGCTTCTGACCCAGACTCACCCGTGAAGCTCCGGTTTAGAATTGGTCTTCAGTAACCCATGCTTGTCGTAAGCGGCGACAAACGGGATCGGTGGTCAGGCTCGCTAACTTGTTTGACACATGCATCGTATCCCAGTTGCGTAGATCGATGTTCATGCTGTTGATCACAGGATTGTCTGGCACTATTATGTACAGACCGCCGCCATATAGCTGGAATATTGCTGAGTGCGGCGTAAAACTAAACTCACTCACTCTGACCCAGACTCTATTATTTTGCTTTAATAATGATGTTTAAGGCGTAGATCCAAACACTCACTCACTATCTTTAGGAATGTTTTCCTCATTCGTCCTTCTTCATTTCGTGATTTCGATTCAAAAACCGCTTTAAACAGTATTACATCACTGATGTTCAGCTTGATGTGTGAAGAACACCCAAAGTGGTCCATGTCTCAGGGCGACCGGGATTCAAACTCAATATTGTGTGGTTTCCCAACCGGCAGCCTGTCCACCGAGGCAGGTAGGAATGCATGAAGGCATCACATTAATTCAGCGTCTTTTATATATCGCAGAAGACCTCTAACAGTCTACATCCGGGTGTTCTGGCCGCCATCATTCTCCTCAGCATCACCATCGTCATCCTCGTCGTGATATTCGTGGTGTGGAAGGTCAAGGTCGTACCGAAAACAAAGACGTCATTCCGTAAGTTGAATAATTCATGTTTTCTATTCCTGGCAGGTTGTCAGTTTCTTGAAATTATATTTCATCCTTGACATCAGTGTTTTCCCCCACACGTTGGGGATTACAGGTAGAATATTTTAACACTGCGAGAATATAGACGAGAATAATTTGATCTGGGATAGCCTAGAGGTTAAAGCGTTCGCTCGTCAAGCCGAAGACCCGAGTTAGATTCCCCACATGGCTACAATGTGTGAAGCCCATTTCTGGTGCCCCCCGCCGTGGAATATTGCTGGAATATTGCAAAAAAGCGGCGTAAAATTAAACTGACTAACTCTCAATCGCGTAGATCGATACTCATGATGTCAGTCACTGCATTGTCTGGTTCAGACTCGATTGGGGCGGTAGGGTAGCCTAGTGGTTAAAGCGTTCGCTCGTCACGCCGAAGGTCCGGGTTTGATTCCCACATGGGTACAATGTGTGAAGCCGATTTGTGGTATCCCCCGCCGTAATGTTGCTGGAATATTGCTAAAAGCGGCGTAAAACTACACTCACTTACTCACTCACTCAGAGCGCCGTCAGTTGAGTGCGGCATTTTGGAGCAAACTCATTCCCTCCTAAGAGTCTCCTTGCTATGCCAAAGATCTTGGTGGAATTCACACCGTTTCGTTGCCTGTACAACATTATTCACTGTTTCTGCTTTATTGTTTTCCAGACACCAATAACATGAAATACCTGGGTCACGTGAACACACCATGGCAGGCTGAAGATTTCCTCTTCCGTGACCCCAGCATCCTGGGCCTCAAGAGGGAGGTGACCACCCCCACCGCCCCCGCCGACACCCTCTCCACCAGCGCCCTCAGCCCCGCCAACAAGTTCGACATGTACACAGACAGCCCAGTGTCACACTCGCGGATCTCTATGCCCCTCCCAGCAGAATAAACCCTCCCCGTGCTGTACATACCGAAATGGGAACGTGGTCTTTGACACATTTTACGACATTCCAACCAACAGGATCATCTGGAATTATCTTCAAATATGGCCAGACGGACCTCAACAACCCGTTTCAATGTACAAAAAAATGGAAACGTATTCTTCTGATGTGGAAAAATTGATTCCCTAATGAACAAGGGGGCGGTAGGGTAGCCTAGTGGTTAAAGCGTTCGCTCTTTACGCCGAAGACCTGGTTCCGATTCCCCACATGGGTAGTATATGTGAAGCCCATTTCTGGTGTTCCCCGCCGTGATATTGCTTGAATATTGCTAAAAGCGGCGTAAAACTAAACTCACTCACTCAAGATACAAGCATATATTATAAGTTGTTCACTGGTCACGAGGGGGGCATGGGTTGATGTACCCTCGATGTTTGTTTATGTTCCCTGAGCCCGAACATAAACAAACATCGAGGGTACATCAACCCATCGGCCCCGAGGGACCAGTGAACAACGTATTTATCTTAACGAACACATTAATGTTAATTTTGAATTGTTTGAAGCACGGGTACAAATCCTTTTTTAGCCATCGCTAGATTTTGCTGACAAGAAAAACAGATTTGGAGTTATCTCCCTTCCATCGATTTGCATTCGCAAATCATCGGAAATTTCCGTACATCATACGTGATTCAATGTTATTCGAGATAAAGAATTACTACCACGAAGTACCAGATGAGTTGCCATTGACAGCGGGATACATTGAAATGTTACTCGCTTGTAAGCGGGTTACATTGAAAATAATAGAAGAGCGCTCAGCCAATCAGAAAGCGACATTTATGTGTGAGGTAAGATAATACCCATTACGCTATGTACATATTGTTTCCGCAGTGAAAAGTGTCTCCGTATATTAATACACAGTGTGTCATCTCACCTTTGTAAAATGTATACGCGCTCAAATAATGTCCATGAATCGGCCTATTAACCGAACTTGCACCATATATATGTAATGTATATCGACTTATATGAGTTGTTATCGACACATGCCTGTCACAGGTTATGTTGTTGTCAGTAATATGATAACCTCACCAGATTACTGGTCTGGCTAGCTATTCTCGAAACGTTCGTAGCCCGACGAACTTCTTAAGCCCATTCTTAACACATTGGCTACGATCAAAGTCAAGAATTCTTAGAGCTATGAACGTTTCGAGAATAAGGGCCCTGATTCGTTGCAAATCCACAGGCGGAAGGCTCAAGACTGTGTTCATAACATCAACCACTTGTTTTCTTGATTCGGCTGCTTTTCTGTTAGGCCTGATATACGTAAAATGTGTATTACTTTGACAACCCGTTCTAAATAACAATCACCTCACGGTTATTACTGTTTTAGCCGTAAAACAATGTCGCGTTCAGTGCTATAATTATATCTTCCATATTTTCACTAAAAGATGTGTATATACAATATCTACTGTCTACTAGGATGTAAAAATGTAGATAGCCCCTTGAGGCATGTACATATTGTAATTTAGCCTCTGTTAAAGATATTACCATATGTTTATAAGCCTTAAGTACTAGCGTATTAGAATAAGGTATTTCATCGTTATAACTTATCGATATTATGTTCGTATTAAACCTAATGAATACTAGAAATGTACGTCGTCATAAATCTCTTCCCGTTATTATATAACGCGTATTTTAATCAATTCTCACGTGACCACTTACAGTGTCGAGTAAAGTATTTATGGTCGTGTGGCAATTATTTGCAGTAGCCACTACTACTAATATCAACCCTGCCCGATTTACCTGATACATATGCCCTTCCATACCCACTCAACATAGGTGACCAGCTATATATGTTGTAGGCTTGCCTTGAATGTTGTAATTCAATGTGTCCATGTGGTTGCAACTGATCTTAAGAAAAAGAATTATGTAAATATGAATTATTTTTCTAATAATAATGACACTGAGGTTTTGCTTTGTTATATTAAATATTTTATATTATCACGTTTTTATCCTGTTTATTACTATATATACCCGAAGAGAGCCTGTGATGCATGATTCTATCGTTTACGCTCCTGTACAATGAAACCCCGTAGCCAGGGCCAGTTTGGACCGTGCTGAGATTTACTTTGGGAACATCTGTGTTCAAACTAAGGGTCATGGTGGCTTTGCTATCATACGCGGGACAAAACTCCGTGTGTTTTCTCATAAATATTATTTTTATTGACAATGAGAGCAACATTTTCTCGTGTGCTTCCACTAAGAATGACACCCCCTTGCCTCACACTGAAGATGCTTCTCTGATACCCGTCAGCCATCAAGCATTTTATGTTAAGTATACAAAATATGCTTCCCTATATTAAGGACAACTTGAACAATATTACTCGTGCTTCTCCAACCCTCTCCAAACATAATTCGCTGATGCGCCCGATTTGAATAGCTCAATTTGACTAATGATCCTTTTTGTCGGCCTGTTAGTTCGGATAGTTCGTTTTAACGGGGCTTCATTGTTCAAGAAAGTATTTACAAAAATGTGATTGTGATACTCCAACGATTTCCACTTGATTGTTTGATTGAAATAAAAACAAACTCGCACATAGATTATCATATGATTTGTTTGTACTCAATGATAGGGACACTGCCCTAAAACTAAGGGGAGATTACTCATATCCTCTCATCTTTTCATCAGGCATTGCTGGTATTTAAAACACTTATCAAATGATGATATTAACTGGGGAACTTCTTTGAGTGGCGTTTAGAAACCGGTATGATGAAGAGAGAGAGAGAGAGAGAGGGGGGGAGGAGGATATTGATAGCGATACTTCTTTTTATATCGCAATAGATGCTACGTCTCGAAATAGATACTAACACCGATAGATATATCTAGATATATATAATATCAGCTCAGATATTTCTTCTTGCCAAAACTCCTTTATATCAGCACAGGATCTTTCGCTTCCTTGATACCGGTGTTACCATCTGCACAGTAACGTCGCTTCTATTGTGTTAAATAAGCTGTCTGTCCATAAGACATTCAATTTTGTTCCTCGTAACTAGGGAACTTTACACTACCCGGATCATGAGAATATACTGATGCTTAAATTGTCTCCCGGTGTAAACACAATCCGTCCCCTTCGTTGAACCAACCAGCCACCCAAAGTTTAATTTTTACTGACTACACAAACGAGCTGTTATATGAATGAAATAATCCTGAAATCAAACTATTTCACCATGAAACATTGACTTTTCCAAATTCAAAAACGCGGTACAAATTCCCTCCAAATACCTCTTAAAGCTAGCCAGGATTGTGTTTGTCCCTGTCAGCAAACTATTCAGCTATATAATGGTGGTCAGTAAATAACCCGATATGGAGCAGATGATCCAGTGATTGTTAGCATGAGCAAATCCTACCTCGTCTGGATACGATGACACCTAATCTCATGAAAATCTCTTTATCCGGTAATACCATTGGTGCAAGGACACCAGCGCACTTTGCCAACCACATAGAAATGTGATAACATTGCTTAAGAAATGACTTAAAAATCGTAAGAGGCGACAATGTGTATCGGATGGTCAAGCTTGAACAACAACCACTTAGAGCGACATGGAGAAAAAAGGGTTCTCTCGTAAAAGATCCCATAACAATTCAATTATTGACGAGAATTCTTGAGGATTACTAAAAGGCGTACTCTCCATCCCGAGTAATTTGATTGTGTTAATACGCTTATATTATTGTCATTTTAATGGTCATGAAGAAAACTCCGCGTGAAATTTCACCCTCATTAACACCCTCTTGTTCAGATCAATTTGTGACGTCATAAACAATAGTTGTATCTATTGCATGTATCCCAGTCCAAACTGGTTTCAAGCTCCCTTTGCGCCACGTCAACGTACGCCGTATATCGCGTTATGAGAGACGGGGCCCAGCTTACTCTCAACCATTGTTACGTAAAAGGCTTCAACTGACCAAACAGCGCTGAGAATCGCTAAAATGCAAATTTGAAAATATCGTAACGTCATTGCACGTGATCATTCTACCCTTATTGGTATTATCCAAACCTTGTTCTCCAGGAAACATCCTAGGATTTAAGGTATCCTCTCAGCAAGTGAATCTTTGTGTCATTGATTTCACAGTCTTTTCTTCGTGCCCACAACCAGTTTATCCTCGGCGGGCCAAGGGACGCAACTCTTCACATCGAAATACGGGGCTTTAGACTGATCCCTGTAGCACAAGTATTGAACACAGAACCTCGGTGACTCGTTTCAGTTTGGCTCGTGCTGTTCGAGATTTGGCGCATGCGCGAGACACGTAATATTCGGTTGATTGCCATATCTTTCCACCGTGAAACCATCTTTAGGGTGGCTTTTGTCTTTGAGCTCGACTCTGATTGAGTCACGTGACTGGGATGATGGACACTCTGGGAAGTAGTTGTACGGATACAACGAGAAAGACATCACCGTACCGGAAGTAGCAACAACAGGCAGGTCCTCAGTGTGGGGGATGTGGTGTGTTCCCATGGGGATCCAGAACACCAGGTCCTGTATAGAGGAAATAAATATTGAACGTTATACAATGAGGTGAATCCCATGATTACTGAAAGTTATCCGACGAGTGACGGAATGATGGTTTAAGTCTCACTTGGTAAACATATCAGGACGAATAGTAAATAGAACCAGTATAAGAAAACCGAGAACCAGGGTGCCGTGGCACAAAGTAGCCTCAGCGCTACGCCTGTCGTAAGTCTGTGTTAAGGTATGGGAGTTACGATCACCATAGCGCTACGCCAGTCGTAAGTCTGTGTTAAGGTATGGGAGTTACGATCACCTTAGCGCTACGCCAGTCGTTAGTCTGTGTTAAGGTATGGGAGTTACGATCGCCTTAGCGCTACGCCAGTCGTAAGTCTGTGTTAAGGTATGGGAGTTACGATCACCTTAGCGCTACGCCAGTCGTAAGTCTGTGTTAAGGTATGGGAGTTACGATCATCTTAGCGCTACGCCAGTCGTAAGTCTGTGTTAAGGTATGGGAGTTACGATCACCTGTTAGCGCTACGCCAGTCGTAAGTCTGTGTTATAGGAGTTATCGGCGTTACGCCAGTCGTAAGTCTGTGTAAGATCGATCCCTCCAGCGCTACGCCAGTCGTAAGTCTGTGTTAAGGTATGGGAGTTACGATCATCTTAGCGCTACGCCAGTCGTAAGTCTGTGTTAAGGTAAGGTATGGGATCACCTTAGCGCTACGCCAGTCGTAAGTCTATATGGGAGTTACGATCGCGCTACGCCAGTCGTAAGTGTTAAGGTATGTTACGATCACCTCAGCGCTAAGTCGTAAGTCTGTGTAAGTGGAGTTACGATCATCTTAGCGCTACGCCAGTCGTAAGTCTGTGTTAAGGTATGGGAGTTACGATCACCAGCTACGCTAGCGCTACGTCGTAAGTCTGTTAAGGTATGGGAGTTACGATCACCTGAGCGCTACGCCAGTCGTAAGTCTGTGTTAAGGTATGGGAGTTACGATCACCTCAGCTCTACGCCAATCGTAAGTCTGTGTTAAGGTATGGGAGTTACGATCACCTTAGCGCTACGCCAGTCGTAAGTCTGTGTTAAGGTATGGGAGTTACGATCACCTGAGCGCTACGCCAGTCGTAAGTCTGTGTTAAGGTATGGGAGTTACGATCACCTTAGCGCTACGCCAGTCGTAAGTCTGTGTTAAGGTATGGGAGTTACGATCACCATCACGCTACGCCAGTCGTAAGTCTGTGTTAAGGTATGGGAGTTAAGATCATCTTAGCGCTACGCCAGTCGTAAGTCTGTGTTAAGGTATGGGAGTTACGATCGCCTTAGCGCAAAGATGACTTTGTACAACGGCACTTTGGGCGATATAAAACGCATCATTGGTCCAGTGGATAGGGTGTCTCTCCGGGCAGCGGAAGGTCAGTGTATCGTACACTGTCATACTAAAATATGTTCTCAATAGGGTTAAGATCTGTCCTGTATCTAGGCCAGTCTAAACCTTAAACATTTTCGTCCGGCAACCATTGTTTTGTGTATCCCGTGTGTTTTGGGTCGTTATCATGCTGGAACATCCAACTATCTTCCTACAGTGTTCGGGCCGTTGAAAGAAGGTGATCATTTAGGATGTCAACATATCGTTCTTTGTCAATTTCCATTCACACAATACACAACGGCGTCACACCACCCCATGTGAAATTTCGGACTATGTTTTGGCCGTTAGTAGCTTTCACGGTATCTGTTGTCCAAATTTCCACACAGTTTGAGAAAAGACAGACAGAACTTTCATCAGAAAGAAAACATTATCTTGATTTTCGTAAGCCCTACACCAGTTTAAACGTCTTCCTTTGTGTGCATCTTTCATCAATGGTGAGGGAATTCCGCGCCTTTTTACCCAGTTAAGTCTTTGTAATTCTTGTCTAAGGGTTTCATTACATACCTGAGGACTTCGTCTATTAATAATCACATTTCTTATATTCTCAACGCTTTTCAATTTTCCCATAATTACAATCTAGAACCAGCTTTCTTTTCTCTTCTGCTGTCAAATCTGCCCTGTCAACAAAGGAAGCCGTCTGCTACACCAGGGGAGATAACTCTTGATGTAGTAAGGTTCATTCTTGAGCGTAAAAGAGTTGCCTCCCATACTGAGCACCTTACTACATAATGTAACGCCTATTTTGAAATTCAATTAACAGTATTAGGAAACAAAGATTTTCTCAATAATTTCTGGGAAAACTGTACGTCACTAGAGCAAAGGTCTATGACAGTAAGTGATTAGTGTGCAAATGGTGAGGTTCTTTTCTTCAAAACATATTTTATCAAGAACTGAACGGTATTTGGGGAAAATTTCTGAGATTGCCCTCTCCCTAATATTTACAAATTTCAGGACGTCTTGTCATCCACAGAATGTTGAAACACTAAAGTTCAAAAGATGGGAGAAATGATGAAACGGCTACTGTATATATATAATCTATAAAGCTAAAACGGATATTGTCCATTGTTTTGGCGGTAACTGCTTCTTCATAATAACATCTTGGGTTGTTTATGATATGCTGATGAGTTTAAAACAGATGGAGTTTGAACTGTTCCGGAAATGTTTCAAAGGCCATTTGTTGACGATCAGCGGAACCTCCTTATATAGGACCAGATTAGGACCCACAACCTCCTGAGTAGTCGAACACCTAAACACTGGACCATCGACCAGCCAAATACTGTTCTGTCGACCTTTGATATCTCGAAGAAACGGTTGTCTCGAAGTAAAACCTTGGCCTCCACGTATTCCTTGGTTAGTCATCAGTTTACGGCTGTGTCGGACCTCAGATAACTCGAAGTATTTAAGAAGCTCAATTCCACTTTGACACTACGGTATCTGGCTATCCTTGAAAAAGACTGGTTCACTTGAAGATACCATGTTTACTGCCTTGTAAGGTGTATACTTCGAGCTTATTTGGGAAGAGGTAGCGCACTGTCATTAATATTACACATATACTGACGGAAACAAATTAGGGAACACCATTTCATCGCAGTGTTCCTCTATATATTCTAAGATTTTCACCTACAGTGCGATACAAGGCTCGTGAAGAAACCTGGATAACAATAAAGGAACACTTGTGCTTTCATGCGTCCCTTATTTGTTTCCCTCAGTAAATAATCAATGTTGTTTCTACGGTGAATACGCCTCAGAAACCACCTCTGTTTGGTTTTAAAATAGCAAACCTTCCGCGTTGAAACAACCCTTCCACTTAGGTTTTAAATGATCAACCATAACGTGGAGATGTGTTTTCTCAAACACCCAAAACACCAACATCAGCATGGACTCACCTCGTCTACAACATTTTCATCATCAGCAAGAAATGACGTGAAGTTGACAGTGGTGTCGAAGCTGTCGAAGACGGCGTAGCAGGAACTGGCATACCGCTCCTCCTCCTTGAACTTGGTAACCGCCATCTGGTGGCGGGCCCAGGGGATGGACGGCTCGTTCCCCGTGTTCTCCGGCAACAGCTGCTTGGACATCCCGTCCAGTTGGAGTCTGAATGAAATGTGGCAATCGACAACATTTTTGTATTAAATTTAATATTTGTTTTACGGAATAAGGTTGGATCGAGATAAACAGATGAATAAAAGTGTGTAGTAACTTGAGAGATGGAGTTTCATGCCAAGCCACACTAAACAGTACTTACAGTACTAACAGCTATTTCAAGGAGTGTTTTTGATAATAAAGGAGGAAAGCCCAGCATGGTGTAGTCTCCTGACGGTTACTACCTGGTGAAAGCCACATAGTAGTGCTGGCAAGCCTGAAATCCTTGTGAACCATATATTTAAAGGTTTCAAACATGGTCAATGGACGCAACGTATTTTGTGACACGGCCACTGATGTAATAGATGTTGTACAGAATTGTCTGGCCACTAGCAAATATATGCAGACATTTATTTGAAGGAGAAAAAACATTTAGAAAAGATAATGATTGTTAAACTGATTTATAAACATAAACGATGAGCCGCCCCCCCTCACTTTGTATAATCTAGTGAAAATGTTCCTACGTTATGGTCCTCATAAGGTAATGTTTTCTATCGATTCACGATTGCTTTGCCGTTGTTTTGCTTCCCTTGGGTATGACTGAAATCAGAGCTCGAATCCCGGTCCGCCTCAACTACGCTGCTAGGTGTATCACCACCAAACCAATAGTGAGTGAGTGAGTGAGTGAGAGGGCGAGTGAGAGTGAATATTTATCGCCACATCGGCAATATTTCAGCCATATTCGTGACGAGAACGATTATTGTATTATAGATCAATAAAATTAGAAATTAAAAGCCTGTTGACTAGGAACAGTAAAACTACCAGTGTATCACAGATATTAAAGTATAACTACCACGTTATCATAAAAAGTATATTTTAAAAGAGAAAAATACGATATAAAACATAGACGCCATAGATAGATCCATATTGGGGACTGAAGGTAGATCAGGGGTGGATAACTTTAAAATTGCTATGCGGACTTACAGTAAAATCATTGCCCTGATAAGTTTTCTACTATGGACCCGAGCTGGATTTTTAAAATAAACAACATTAGTGATGATGACACCGGTGAGTGTGATTGGTCTTCAGACAAAAAAAACACTATCGGACGTGCTTGTCTCCACCCCTAGAGGCTACCCTTGGCCCGACTGGATTGGGTGGTGAGGTTCTCTTCAGTTATGGCCATGGATACATGTCGACCGCATTGGGTGGTGAGGTTCTCTAATTGCGTGCAGATCGAAGCGTAGATCGATTCATGATGTCAGTCTAGAGCTCATTATTTACGGATCGCCATCATATAGCTGGGATATTGCTGGGTGCGGTGTGAACCACAAACAAAATAGTACCGAAGACTGATTGACTGACAGACGGCAACTGACATATTGTTGAGTGAGGTGTTAAACAATAAACAAAACGTACAACAACTACTGTGGTTACTTTTATACATAAATTAAAACAACTTAAAGGAACACTTAAACATAAATTGATAGACTGAAACTACGGTTATAACGACTGACTGACTGACTGAGTTTGGTTTTACGCCGCTTTTAGCAATATTCAAACAACATCACGGCGGGGGACACCACAAATGGGCTTCACACATTGTGCCCATGTGGGGATTCGAACCCGGGTCTTCGGCGTGACGAGCCAACGCTTTAACCACTAGGCTACCCCACCGCCCCTATAGTACCGAAGAGATATTCATGAAAAAGATAAGGTCTGGGACTGCATCACTTCGACTTCGAAGTTGACAAGCCGTGATTTATATACTGTTCAATTTATATACCTCACTCATTCACGGTTTTATCAGCAACTGTAAATATCGGCAGCTGTCAAGTCTACAAAACCATAACAGATACTTATTGATCGCCATCAAGCAAGTCAAGGTTCTTGCCATTTGTTCACAATATGCTTCCAATAATGTGGAAACAAAATGGATTCTTAATATGTTCAGAATAAACCTTCCCCTGACATAGTAGATCCTCTGATGAGTAATGTAATCGGGTAGACCTATTTGGGTCCTTTGTACCAAAACTTAACTGAAGCCATATGCAACACCCCTTGGCCCATGTCTCAGGACGGTTAACGGTTGGGTCTCTCGGATCTTACGATCTTGTTTTCAACAACTCTTCCAAAATAAGGATCTTACCTGTACGCTTTAAGTTCGTCGTATCTTGTTTGATATTCGTTGTTATGTATGACATGATACTTAGGTTTGTCGAATTGACACTTGTACGCAGCTTCAAGTTCAGTTCGCTTTAACTTCCGGTCAAACCGGATCTGGAAATAAGTGTCGCTCGGATCGCTGCTAAGGTAATTTTGGACCTCTTCCGTTGAGATGTCGAGAGTCTCGTATCTATTATCTGTACCATGGATGTCAATGTCCGCCTTGAACAGAACGACGTGATGATGAAGAGGACCTGTAATGTAATCTTGGAGTTTGAATCCATGAAGCTTTTCACTTGGCGTGTGGAAGGTTGATAAAATATACCCTGTCGACAGTACACTAACCTCGAGCGCTCCGCTCTGATGGAAAATATAATCCAACACATAGTCGTAGTTTCCCACTTTTAAAATGCTCCTTAGTGTGAGAACGCTGTCAGGCATCCCCGAATAGACGCCATAAAGAGAATACTCCATATGTCTTCTCAACGGCGTGTGTTTGTTATGCTCGAACAAGCAAAATGCATTTTTAAGAATTATAGGATCGTCATTCGTCCCCTCGCCTATATAAGTCGTGTTGAAGAAAGTGCTTGTTTCGGGACAGTCAACCGCTGGAACGAGATCATGTGAAGTGGAACCTATTAGAGCCATGCTGTCAAGAAGGTTAGCGCTGGTAGTTGCCCTGTTCTTTGAGGAGTAGAACACGCCAATTTCTTGAAGTCCGATTTCGTATGCGATGGTTTCGTTGTTAAATCTGATGTTCTGGAGTTGCGGCCCGTGTAATGTGGACATTCTGAAATCAAACTGCCACTGCATGTACTCAACACTCCGATGTTTGACAGTATACCTTTTACCGTCGGGCTCAAACATTCTTGGAGCACGCAGAGGTTCCGTGGGTACAGGAGTGCCTCTTCTGTTCATGGTTGAAAACAAGTCTTTGTCCAATTTAGGGAATGGTACATTGGTTTTAGGAGTGGAGGACATGTTGTATCGCTCAGCAAGGTCATCCAAACTGGAGTATTCCTTCCCTGCATATACCAACTTCTCTACAAAGTATTCACTTGGATCTGTAGAGTTGAGATTAGCGAGCAGCAAAAGGTCGAGACAGTGCAGGCTTCTGTAAGGAAGCTCGTGAAGAGTTATCAACCAGAATTTCCTGACCTTTTGTTTCATGAGACCACTAGACACTGGGTCGGGATAGAAACTCAGACACTCGCTTCCGCAGTTTGTAAACGTGGCTCCATAACTCTCCATCAAGATAAACCCAATTTTTCGGTCAATCTTTGGATACAGAGACACAAACAGAGAACCGAATTCCACAAACCCTATTGGTCTGAAGGCGAAAGGAACTGGATTTTTGCGAACTGGGTTAACATAGAGAGAATGTCGACTTGGTTCCGGTAAAGGACCAACAACATATTCCTCCACAACTGGGGGGTCTGCGTCACCTCGAAAGATCATAAGTAAAGCATTTCGTTCGGGCTCTGCTCCAGTCCCAGAGAGATATTCGAGAACCTCAGACTTTTTCGGTGGATGCAGGTCGGAGGCGTAGATGTAGCTGCTGTTGACTGTTGCTTGCGATGCCGCAACAATATTCAGTTCAGGAATGCTGTATATATATTTCTGAATGGCCTTTAGTTCCTTGAAAGTCAAGTCGTCATGGAGACTGGGTGTTTCTGCCTCCGATGGATCTATTTTGTTAATGCTTCCCGACCCACACTTGATATGTTCTCCTCGCTCGTGGAGGAGGTCGACTTTGACGACGAAGGACACAATGATGACGATGAGCCCCACGCACACCAGGATCAACACGCCAGCCATAAATCTCCAGCTGTTGCTTTTCCTCACTGCCATTGTCAGCACCTGGATGAAAGATCACACACAGTAAACTATGGTTATAACAAAAAGAGTATAACGAACTGACTGATACAACTAAATGTTCTGTTTGTCCCAACCACTCGCAGAATGGTTTAGTCAATTGGCGTATTACGACCTACAGTTATAACGAACCAAACTACATTGTTCCAACGAGTTCGTTATAACCGGGGCGGTGGGGTAGCCTAGTGGTCAAAGCGTTGGCTCGTCACGCCGAAGACCCGGGTTCGAATCCCCACATGGGTACACTGTGTGAAGCCCATTTCTGGTGTCCCCCGCTGTGATGTTGCTGGAATATTGCTAAAAGCGGCGTAAAACCAAACTCAGTCAGTCAGTCAGTCGTTATAACCGTAGTTTCAGTCTATCAATTTATGTTTAAGTGTTCCTTTAAGTTGTTTTAATTTATGTATAAAAGTAACCACAGTAGTTATTGTACGTTTTGTTTATTGTTTAACACCTCACTCAGCAATATGTCAGTTGCCGTCTGTATGTAATCTAGTTTGGCCCCATACATCCAATTGTGTTACGATGACATGCATCAACCCTTCAAGATGAAATATAGACCTTGAACCTCCAGGCATCAGAGTTGCGTCCCTTATATCGCCAGGATCCTCTAGTTGTGGGATTGAATCAAAGATTTGCCCTAATTATGATTCTATATTTTTCAAAACCATAACAATTATATTGCCACTGCAGTCATTCCCAGCTAGAACTGAAACGCGTGTCATTTAAGTCATTACTTAAAGAGAATATACAATAAACAGTTTGGATATTGATGTAAACAGTTTTACTTTCCAACAACCTGACAACAATTAAAGGGAAGTAAGGTTATGAAGATTCAAATATCTACTGGTCCAGCTGAAATATTTGTTGCAACGATATACAAACATAATGCTTTTTCGACCTCACTTATTCAAAAACGACAGTAATTAGTAAGTAGTAATTAGCTATATTGTGTAATTATGGAAATCTGCTTATACACTGGCATTTGGGGATACAATCATCAGCATGAGGTACCACAGTTCAACGCTGTACTTGGTGATATTTGTTCTCCAGAGTTAATGAGACGACCCCCGTCTCCACAGCTTCTTCGAAATGGAAGCTTTTCGTTATAACGCGATATACAAATACATAAAGAATCTATTCGAAAACAGCAGGGAGTACATGTAACACTGATGTGGGGGTATTGTCTCACACTGCCATTGAGGAACTTCCGCGCATTTACGACACATGGTTGATAGAACAATGTCAGGTTATTTATCATAACAATCTTGTAAACTGGTGTCATATCTACCTTCTGAGGTCCCAAACTCGTCCTTGCAGTTGGAATTACAAGCGATCCAGTTATTATACAATCCCTGCGTTCGGCAACCCCATCGCACGTACATTCACAGACCATCAGCCATGACCCCGCCACTGAACGCCACTGTACCCCTCTGTACGCCAATGTACACACGGAAGCGGTGGGTAGGTGAACGCTATGTCAGATGCACGTGTTAAGATGAGCTGGGTCCGCCATCGTTCACCAACCTAGTTCTGTGTGTAGGTAAAAATAGCAGCAGCCGCCGCAGCAGAATAACATATGTGTGAGAGAAGGAGCAGTGATTATAGCATAGTGTTGGGCCATGATGGTAGTTGATGAACCAGGGATGTGCGTTGTGAACAGCAATTTCGTCAAAAGAGTCCCTGAGGTATTCAGGGTTGACGCTGGTGTCCAGTTACTCGGAGACAGTGTGGATTGGGTGTGTTGGGTCGGTGACGAGGGTTCCAGAATGTCATCGTACCCCAGCGGGTTGAGAGGAAAACAGGAGGCGATGCGTGCCCTTTTTATACCCACGATGACACTACAGTGCAGACCAACCTACACACATTACCGGGGGAATTGGGGATTCGAAGCCAGGGAACAAGTTTGTGTATCAGTATGTGTGTGTGAGAGGGTGCGTATACGTGTATGTAAGAGTGTGTGTATATCTGTGTAAGAGTGTTAGTATGTGTGTGAGAGTGTGCATATGTGTGTGAGGGAGTGTGTGCATATCTGTGTGTAAGTGCATGTGTGTATATCTGTGTAATAGTGTTAATATGTGCGAGAGTGTGTGCATGTATGTGCGAGTGTGTGTATGTGCATATCTCTGTGTGAGAGTGTATATATGTGTGAGAGTGTGTGTATGTGTTCGAGAGTGTGTATATCTGTGTGTAAAGGATGTGTATCTGTGTCTGTGTGAGAGTGTGTGCATGTGTGTGCGAGTATGTATATCTGTGTGTAAGGGTGTGTATATATCTGTGTTTGAGAGTGTGTATGTGTGTGATAGTGTGTTTTTATGTGTGTGTGAATGTATCGCTATGTGTGTGACAGCTTGTGTGTTTGTTTTAGTAGATTTGTGAGGGAGCGTATCGCCATGTGTGTGAGTGCGTGTATGTGTGTGAGAGAGTAAGTGTATGCGAGTGAGAGAGTATGTGTGTGAGTGTATCGCTATGTGTGTGTGAGAGAGAATGTGTGTGTGTGTGTAAAAGTGGGTGTGTAAGGGTGTGCATCGCTAAGTGTGTTGGCGGTTGTGTATGTGTGAGAGTGTGAGTTTGAATTTATGTATATTGGCGTGTGCTGAGTGTGTCTTGATATGTGTGAGTGTATTTATGCGTATAGTTTTGTGTGTATGTGTGTGTATTTGGTATGTGTGCGTGTGGTATGTGTTAGTGTGTATGTGTGGGTTTCTATTTATGCATATTGGCGTTAGTTGAGAGCGTCTGGATATGTGAGTGTATTTATGCGCAGATGTGTATATGGGTGTGCATCTTAGCATGTGTTCGTGAGGTGTGCGTGCTGTGTGTTTGTGTGTGTGCATGCGGGGTGTGAGCGTGATGTGTGTGTGTGCGCGTGTGTGCGTGCGTGCGCGCGCGAGAGAGAGAGGCGTGTGTGTAAAACAACATTACTCTTACAACACCCGCATTTCGGGAACCATCAAAGCTTGGACCCCATCTATATGATGGCCCGTCTGTGTCGGCTATACGAACATACAGACAAATCCTGCTTCGCGAACAAGCTGGGCAGCGCTAAAGGTGCGTCGACTGATTACTTCCTCTCCAGCTTTAATAGAATGTTTGTCTCAATGGCTCAACGTTAGAAATTATTTCGCACTTGACTCAACACGTGATTAACTGTTAATCTAATACACCTGTATACCTTTCCTATATGTTCCGTACAAAGTATGTACGTGTTTTCATCGAGGTAAGGCGTATGAGAATTATTACAGGTAGTGTAACAGTTTAGCAATTACCGGCGGAATGAGAGAATTAAGCTGCGAATGGTTGAAAAGGTTGAAGATTGTCCATCCTGATATCTCGCCTGCTTCAGAAGCATTCATCCCGCCATAGCGAGACCTCTAACAATCCTAGCATTAATATATATACTCATGTCAATAATGGTTGTCACTCCCTTCAATTTTTTTCATTGGGGTGTGGGTGTGGGGTTGGGGGTTGGGGTGGGAGGAGGTGACAACCATTATTGGCATGAGTATATTTTTAATTCGAGATAACATTTTATCCATAAAACTTGTTATAAAACCATTATTGGCATTGAGTAAAAAAAACAAAACTGTGACATGTTAGCTTTGATACCGTTTAACAATAACCCGATTACGTGTTGGAGGAAGTGCTTAGATACACGTGCTTTAGACGATCATGTCCGTGATATATGTGTATTTAACTGTCAGAAGTTTCACACATTTTCCCAAGCAATACATCACTAGTATTTTATTGAAGCTAATTTATTTATGTGCAAATTGAAAGTACAGCGACACAGGAGAGGCACATATTTATAGACAGGCACGTCACCATTACATTAGAAAAACAACAGAAGATGTTATCGACATTAATTACCACTTTCAGTACACGAACAACACATTGACAGACAAAACGGAACACGTATACATTATGTTTGAAGCTTTAGTTTGATGAAGAACAGATTTATTCTGGATAATCACAAGTCTCCATGTGGTTAGGTCAAACCATGTTCCTGATCGAGTATGATCTGCGGTGTTTGGTCTTCTTGTTTGTTTGTTGTTTAACGCAGCAGTCAGCAATATTCCAGATATATGACTCGAGTCCGTAAATAGTCAAGTTTGGACCAGATAATCTAGTGATTGACATTATGAGCATCGTTCCACGTAACTGAGATTTAATTACACGTGTCAAACAGGTCGGTGTCAAACCGATCCTGTTGGTCGCTTTTTACAAGAAGCTTGGGTTACTAAAGACCCGGGATCTTCATGGGCGTCTTCTCGTCTAAGCAAGGGGGAAGAGGCTATGGATGGCTCTGTGCCATTGACTGACTGACTGAGTTTGGTTTTACGCCCCTTTTAGCAATATTCCAGCAATATCACGGTGGGGGACACCAGAAATGGGCTTCACACATTGTACCCATGTGGGGATTCGAACCCGGGTCTTCGGCGTGACGAGCCAACGCTTTAACCACTAGGCTACCCCACCGCCCCATGGGTTACTGAAGACCAGGGATCTTCATGGGCCTCTTTTCGTCTAAGCGACGAGGGAGAGCTTCAACTGGATGGCTATGAGCCATTGAACATACATTGTGTCCTTGTGTGTATTTTACCCTGATTAATCTTTTGGAATGATTTCAGTCACTGGTATGCCTTGGCCAGATCTAATCGTTTTGGGTCATCCTTCATTCCTGTTTATGCATAACATTACCATCAGATATATACCACCTCCGTGGAGTAGTAGTTAGAGCGTCCGCCCCGAGAGCGTAAGGTCGCGTGTTCGATCCCCCCAAAACGTTAAAATATAATACTTGTTGGTCCCTGCCTGGCGCTTGGCATCAATGGGTACAACAAGCATCGGACTGGTCGGCTCGGAAACAGTATAATGTGTCTGAGTAGAGTATTCATGATTACTACGGCATGGTATCTCAGTGAGCAACTACGGTATGGTATCTCAGTGAGCAACTGCGGCATGGTATCTCAGTGAGCAACTACGGCATGGTATCTCAGTAAGCAACTACTGCATGGTATCTCAGTGAGCAACTACGGCATGGTATCTCAGTGAGCAACTGCGGCATGGTATCTCAGTGAGCAACTGAGGCATGGTATCTCAGTAAGCAACTACGACATGGTATCTCAGTGAGCAACTACGGCATGGTATCTCAGTGAGCAACTGCGGCATGGTATCTCAGTGAGCAACTGCGGCATGGTATCTCAGTGAGCAACTACGGCATGGTATCTCAGTGAGCAACTACGGCATGGTATCTCAGTGAGCAACTGCGGCATGGTATCTCAGTGAGCAACTACGACATGGTATCTCAGTGAGCAACTACTGCATGGTATCTCAGTGAGCAACTGCGGCATGGTATCTCAGTGAGCAACTACGGCATGGTATCTCAGTGAGCAACTACTGCATGGTATCTCAGTGAGCAACTACGGCATGGTATCTCAGTGAGCAACTGCGGCATGGTATCTCAGTGAGCAACTGCGGCATGGTATCTCAGTGAGCAACTACTGCATGGTATCTCAGTGAGCAACTACGGCATGGTATCTCAGTGAGCAACTGCGGTATGGTATCTCAGTGGGCTAGCACTATAAAACCAGCTTAAATCTCGGCTAGTACAAGCAGCCACACATACACACGCATGCACGTCGTCATATGAGCGAACTATTCTCAAGTACGACGTTAAACCCTATTTCACCTCATCGTTAGAAATAGTCTCAATACTACAAATGTCACATAAATACATACGTAGGTATCATATTTCACAAAAGATTATTTCCAGGTTGTTTTTAAGTTCAAGTTGGATCACATTGATTTTTCTGAAAATCAAATACAATGCACATGCATGTAACAGAAGCTCTCGGTTAACAGAGTCGGGTAGGACCTGCTTACCCTCACTCGAACACCGGGTGTTATCAAGAATTCCTAACGATTCCTTCATTAAGACAGTAACTGTTATTTTGCCCAATCTGTCTCAGTAGATGTGAGAAACTTATCTTGGCGATGACGTTGTATATTTGTGTAAAAACATTGAGGCCGATGATCTACACATGAATATAACGGGAGTTAGTTAGTTGCATCTATATACATAATAAAAAAGCAACAACGCACAACTGCCACGTTCATTTCGACCTGTAACTAGCTAACGGTTATTGTACAACACCATAATGCAAATAGCAACGCCCATCAAGATCCGGGTTGGAAATGGTCTTTACTTCTCGTAAGATACGACTAACGGAATCGGGTGGTCAGGCTCGCTGACTTGGTTGACACATGTCACTGTATCACAAATCGATGCTCATGGTGTCAATCACTGGATTGTTAGTGCTGAGTTCGGCGCTAATCAATAAACAAAACGAAAATGGTGATGGTGACAACTAAACAAGAATTATTCCTGGCAACATCAATTGAACATCATCAAAACATCAATAGCAAAGGGCAAATATATTTTCGCCGAATCAGCATATTTACGGAGACTAGAATCTAACTGCTGCTGCTGCTGCTTCTAAGGGCTATAA